CGCAGCGAGGGTACTGCCCGCCATACGGGGCCACGCAGGTCAGAAAGCTCTGCTCCCAGCCACGCCTCCATAGCCTCGTCATCGTCTTCATCATCTTTCTGTTCTTCCTCCTCGTCCTCGTCGTCATCCTCATCTGAGCTGGTGGAGTGATTAGTGTCAGGTCTATTCCTCTTTCTAGCCGCCCTTTTCCCACCGTCTTTATCCTTTGCTCTCTCTCGTCTCCCTCCCTCGCTCTCTCTCTCACCGTCCTCAGTCAGGGAGTAAAGACCGCTGCCATCCATGCTGTCTGTGTCTTCTTCCTCCTCTCCGTCTCTGTTTGTCCCTGTCTCTCCTTCCACATCTGGCATAGGCTTGTCTCTGGATGCCTCTCCTGTTTCTTTGGGAGCTACAGAAATAGGGAGCCACGGAGGATAAGGTTAGGGCATCGCTGTCTCATTGGGAGTTTCAACTACATGTTAAATCCTATCAGGCTGCCACAAACGTGAGAAAATTAAACTCAAACAATGTTAGAAATAGCAGAATAGTGAAGATGTATGTAATTAAGATTAGTAAATATAAGCAAAGTTTCTACCATAACAAGAATATTCACAGAACACAAGAAGGCAGTTACCATCTTGAGATGAAGACTGTGTTTGTCCCTCGTTGCTTTCAGAGGCATCTTCCTCCTTGTGCTGGTCTTCTCCGGGTTCTTTTTCTTCAGAGCCACCTGGTAAACAAACAAACAAACAAACAAACAAACAAACAACACATGTGCCCTGGTTAACTCTCAGCGCTCACGGAGCATGGCAGCCCCCCACAGATATGGTTAGGTATGTCCCTGCACCGATCCCTTACCGTTGAGCACAGTGGATTTGCCGTCAGCCTCGGCCATTCTGTCTCCTTTGTCCTGCGTCGACCCGAGGGAGTACCTTTTGAGTGACACACACACACAACACACAACATTAACCTTCTTTATTAATCAAACGGACACTGGCTTATATAAAGAACAGACAACTTGTAAAAAAAAAATAAAAAAATAAAGCCCGACATCATTGCTTGAACTAGCTGACAACAACTCACGCCGCACCGTGGGGGACACAAGTTACCTGTTAGCTTCCAAACTCACAGCCTGGCTAATATCAGCAGCTATTTACCGCTGCACAAAACGACACCAACAAACCAACTCGACTACCAGCTGTCTCACAGGGCCTAACTAATGCCCGATTCTGCTCTGTGGTGTTTAACAGTGCACTGTCCTCTGCAGTGCTCGACTACCTGACACTGTTATCAACGGAAGCTGATGCTAACACGACTGCGTGGGGGCTAGCGCATATCGAAACTAAAATAGTGCTGTCAGCTTTTGCTTAACAACCAAAAACAGCTGGTTGTCAAAAAGCGAGCCAGCAGCTAACGTTGCTTTTAGTGGCTAACTAGCACAGCTAGCGTTACCTCTACTCGAAGGCCCGACGAGGCGTACTTCTTAGTTTACTCCTAATCTTTATTGCAGATTTATTTTCTCCACCTCTCTGCTTAGCAATTTAGCTAAGTGCCTCGACTAGGAATTGTCTTACAGCAAACACACGACATTAGGCATGCGTGCATAAAGCCGTTGGTAAAAGACAGACTATGAAGCCAGCTAGCTGCGTTCACACAAGGTTGACTGCTCTGTTTATGTTTTGACGGTTCAGCTTCTTTTTTTTTCTTCTTTTTTTTTTTTTTTTTTTTTTTTTGTGGTTCCATTTCCGGTGTCGTGCTCGCGTCGTTTTTTTTTTTCGCCGGAAGTTTACAGAGGAGATTAAAAAAAATAGTCGACAGGGGAGAAACGCGATGGCTGATAATAATAATAATAATAAAAAAAATAATATTCATAATAATAATAATAATAACGATAATAATAATAATAATAATAACGATAATAATAATAATAATAATAACGATAATAATAATAATCATATTCATGATAATAAAAATAACGATAATAATCATAATAATAATAACCATTATTCATAATAATGATAATAATAATAATAATAATATTCATAATGATACGATAATAATAATAACAACCATTATTCATAATAATAATCATAATCATAATCATAATAATGATCATGATAATGATAATAATAATAATCATAATAATAATAATAACGATAATAATAATAATCATCATATAATAATAATAATCATCATCATAATAATAACGAAATAATAATAATAACGATAATAATAATAATAATAATAACGATAATAATACTAATAATAATAACGATAATAATACTAATAATAATTATTATAATAATCATAATAATAACGATAATAATAATCATAATTATTATTATTTTCTTCTGAGATATATCACCTATTTGTTAATGTGCATCTAGTGTGGAGGTTAAAGAGTGACTTGTTCACAAATTCCACATAGCTTATTTTCTTAATTATTGTTCTTCTAATGGCTATTTTTCAGCAGCACCTAAAAATAAAAATGAGCTGCCTCCGATTCTCTTCTCTTTACTTTTTCATTTATCATTGTTGACGGCCTAAAGGGATTCTTATATTCCCCAATTGTAAAAATTTTTTGTTGTCAATGTTTTTTGGTCAACTAAAATATGCATCATACATTACTGACCGGGAGCCTTTTCCTCTATGTTTTGCCAAAGCCCAATACCGGTGGCTACTATAGTCTCGAGTCCTATGGCTATCAGAATCACTTGCATATATACAAGGAATTTGACTCCAGTTTTACATTGTTATCAGTGTACATACACAGAATAAGCATAGCTAAATAAACAGGACAACAAGCTCAACAAAACAGACATAAACTACTATGTACAGGTATAAATACTACATATACATACTACTATACAATGGCATTTATGTTTTCAAAAAGAAATGTAATTTTAACAATGAAAAAAAGAAATATAAAGAATTTACAGTTACAGTGGATGTTAGAGTCTCAGAGTTATTGTACAGAGATTGTTCCTGACACCGTGTGTCTGGAGTTAACTGTTCATCAGAGTGACGGCTTGTGGGTACAAACTGTTCCTGTGTCTGTGTGTTTTGCCCTACAGTGCTCTGTAACGCCTACCAGAGGGGAGACGTTGCAACTGGTTGTGTCCAGGGTGTGATGGATGTGCAGCGATGTTTCCTGCCCGTTTCCTGACTCTGGACAAGTATAAGTCCTGAATTACAAATCCCCCCACAAAAATGGAAGAATTTAATAGTGTGTGCACAATGCTGCTGGCTTACCAGTATGCATGATCCATGCATGGTGTAGTCACAAATTTGATTACTTTAGAGTCATTGAGCTGTCAAAAAAAAAAAGACTTTACCTTCCCCCATCTAAAGATTAAAAAGAATGTTACTTAAAAAGTGTGCCACGAATCAGTTCATTTCCTTTTTCTGAATCAACTAATGTTAACTCTATTCCTTCCCAGCAAACTGACACTTAATTCCCTAGATCCACTTTCTTTTAACCAATTCAACAGCATTCAATCTGGTTGTTACATTACTGAGCCCCAGTTGGAAAAAATTCCAACTGGAAAGGTTCATTTACTTTTGTTTGTTCCGTTGTTAAAATGGTATTACATTTGGTGAAGAGCACATTTTCACTTGTTTAAGATTCGAAACTGAAAGTTTAGGACTTGGGACTTGATTTGAGTGCAAAGACTTGAGACTAACTTGTGACTTGCAAAACAATGACTTGGTCCAACCTCTGATCTTTTTCTTTTCTTTTCTTCTATTAATAATATCTAATTAGCCAGTTCTTATCTTACCTCAACTAAAGCACATGCTATTAGATTAGTCGTCAGTTTTTTTATGGTGTTTGTGCAACTTTTTATACATTTATGGATATGGGTTGTTCTTCCCATTTTTATTTTCAGGGAAATATAGACAGTATCGGATGTGTGCTATCAGATGAGTGCTTGCATTGTATTATAGTGATGTTTTGCATTTAACTAATCAAGAGAGCAAGCTTCCCTGCTTGAAATACTTATATGAGTTGAAATGTATGAGGCTAAGCAGTGTCTAAGGAAACATCTGGCTCTTTCACTCACTCAGGGTAAAACAAGATGGGATCCCTCAGCTTCCTTCCTGTGTTTATGTCATGGGTTTAATGACAGCGATCTACAGTAAATCCCATGGCAGGAGGATGTCCTTCCTTCTGCCTCTGTAAGATTGCCTGATTCTTTTCTATCTGGTTTAACTTATAACTAAATTGAAACATAGAGATCACAGCTGCCCATCATACACTCCACAGAGAACTCAGATTATAGTCACCTGTCAAAGCTGTTTTTAATCCACATGGAATGTCAGCTGAGAGTTGGAGACTGAGGGGAAAGGATTACTCTGCAGTACACATAATTTCTCATAGAACAAATAGAGATAAACTGTGTGAGTGATGACAAAACATGATTCGCCAGCAACTTTAAAGATCAATAAAGTCATTTATCAAGTAAATTGTCAAATATTTGCTGGTTACAGCTTCTCAAATGTGAGGATTTGGTAGTTTTTATATAGCCTACTATTGGATTGTTGGTCAGACAATACAAGCAATTAACCCTAACCCCAATTGGACTAACTTTTGTACTTTCTGTGGTTTATTGACTAAACTGTTGTTCATATTCACTTTAATATTCTTTGTACAATAAAAATAATCATTAGCTGCAGGTCTAAAGATACAATGAAACCAACAACCATTTAAAAGGTTTTACAAGCTGCCAAAAGCTGTAAATTAAAAATTAGGTCAACATTTGCATGCGTATCTTACAAACGCTAGTGGACATGAGAAACACCTGTCACCTCAACCGTATTATTAACATAAAAGACAGGATTCTGCAGGGATTTTTAAAATAATTCTGCAGAAACGGCCAACCCAATTTAGATGTGAGGGGATTATTACTTCAAATATATCTGCACATTTTTTTTTTTTTTTCTTACGACCACCTCTGTGGAAATATGTCAGAAGAAGGAAGGGGAAGTTCACACAGACAGCGGGGGTTTCACGGCAGCCTACCCAGCTGTGCTGCGCTCATAAGCTGCAGCAGTTCTCTCTGTCCTCCAGAGGCGATGCTGGAGTTTGGAGAGACTCACGGACGGCGCTGAGTGAGCGCAGCTACCATGCCGCGCACAGGCTTAAAATAGGGACAAAGTTTCTTTTAACAATTTGGCATTATCCTGCTGTTTTCACCGCTGTCCGACAACATGGAGTACTGGAGGCAATGTGCGATGTGGCTGATCAGCTGCAACGTGCTGCCTGAGAACCACCGGGTGACTGCGGACACGGCGCAGGTGTTCGACTTGGCGCAAACCCTGCGGGACGGGGTGCTGCTGTGCCAGCTACTGAACAACTTGAAACCTCACACCATCAACCTGAAGGAGATCAATCTCAGACCACAGATGTCACAGGTATCCTAGACCGATTATTTCTTGCTTCCAAAGCAACTTGTTGTGGTTGTAATGTGTGCAGAGGACCTGCAAAACCGCTGTGAAAGAATTTAGCGGATATCCAAATGAGTGTAGCCAGACGTTAATGGGCCTTAAAGCATGTCTTATCAGTAAACCTCTTGTGTTATATGTCAGGCGAGGCCAGTTAATATTACTTTGCATATTAACAATCAGGTGCTGGTGTAAAGTTGAATTAGTTTTGTTATTCGAAACCAATCATGGTCACTTATTTTCATGAACACTGTGGTATGCATGAAGTAGGTTTACAAGGTGGCACACCCCATCTCTTCCAGCACTGTAAACTGTTTAGAAAATAATACCACAGAGTGTCCTCTGACAGACTTATTTTGGAGATTATCGTCTGACGTGGACACATCTTCATCTGTATACTTCTTCTAAATATGATAGTCATATGTCTGTTGTACTTTTAAGCAACTGACACTGGTTTTGATTAACCAAGGGAGTGCTATATGTCCCTCAGCCTGTGGCTTTGGCCAATTGACCTCTTTTTACCCATAATTCTTCCCTCTGCCACTGGAGAGGCCTGATAAAATCCTGGCTTTGATCCACCCATTAGTTAGGGAACTTTTACTATGTGTGCCGAAGCTTGTAGTTTGCTTGCCACTGAGTATGAAGTATCATAGTAAGTCTTATAACACATATAGTTAGCCATTCAGACACTTTGTGATCACTTACGCTTATGAACAGTAAAAGCTCAAAATAACAAAACTTATTTTCTACCACAGATGCCTATTTTGGCCAGGGCGCTCTTGAAGAAGAGAGTTGTTGTAAATCTCACTGGTAGGTGTAATAAAACAAAAGAACTAATGTTTATAGCAATACATTTTCAGTATACTCTACTTGAATTGGGTGGGTTTACCAGAATAATCACTAATAATGTCATGCCTTTTGGCAATATGTCACTTTAAGAACAAGACTTCCTGTGCACCAAATTGTACTTGCTTCATTCAGGCAACATAGCAGGTGATTAGATCTTTATCAGGCCTTCTCAAAACTATGGTACATATGACATAGTCAGACTCTGAACACTCCACCAAACTTTTTGGTCACATCTTAACGTATTATGGTCAAGGGACTGATTTGTAAACATTGACCATGATGTGAGGTGCACACACACAAAAAAGCAAGTAGTTTTAATAATTTGTTACTAGACTTCACATAGTTTGTTTTTTGCGAGATTAGATTAAAAGATTAAATTTTTTCAGTTGTTGTAATAAATCTATTATTGAAATGCTGTGCCAAGAGAGATTCCTAAAAACATGTATTCAAAGGAACAGTTTTTAATTGCATCATCCACAAACTATCATACACAAATGGAGACATCTAGTCAAAATGACTGATTTTGCCTTAAAAAAATCTTTGCTCCTGTAATAAATAAAAGCTGTTTCCTAGCCTGTCATGCGCTCTCTTATAAACTGCAGCGTTGCATATCCACTCACACTTTTCTTGATAGACAGTGAAAGCAAACCCAGGGCATAACAACAATGGATAGCCATAGCCTGCAGCTGTAGGCCATCTGTGTATGGTCGAGAAAGGCATGTGTGTCAGTGGGCTCCAGATTTTAAATGGCCTTTCATTGTGCCCTGCTGACGTGAGGGGCATGAAGGTAATGGACTGGAGGACAAAAGTGCAGTATACTATGATAAAATGCGTTCAGAACTGCTATTTTTATTGTACTGTAGGGAAAGTGAGAGAACAACAATAATAAAACAAAATCTTTCAAGAGAGACTTCAGCATCAGACAAATCAGTGCTTTGGTGTGCTAAACATCAAAATATATGAGCACAGTTAAGATAATGATGTAAAATGTTACAAAATAAAAGCGTAATAGTTAGTTGTAGATTAAAACAACAGGAACAGGACTAAGCACGCCATCAATAAACCCTATACAAACCCTCCTTCACAATCATTTTAAATGTATTGTACCAAGAAAGACCTGCACTTTGCTTTTTCATCTGTGAAGCTGCAGATGCTGTGTTTATTCTCAAAGTATATGTGAAGAAAGTGAATATACACCGGAGCTGTGACTGTAATCAGAAGTATGAGGCTGGTGGTGGTGCAAAGCCATCATGTTCATGCACTTCCTCCGCAGACAAACAGGGCCCCAGGGGGCGGTGGAGTGATTACAGGCGTCTCCATGATGAGCTGACGTGATAAAAAAGAGCCTATCTATTCTCAAGAATCTTGTTACAGTTCTGTTATTACTGCAAACCATCACATATGCAGTTTCTAGTTTAGTCATTACTTAATAATGTGCAAAAGAGCTAATTATGCTGGCACAGTTGTTTACTGTTTTAATAGTTTACTGTGTGTATTTAGTGTAAGTGATCCAAGCCCGAACCCTTAACCATAAGTTGATTATCTTTCTGAAAGTTGTCGGACTTCCCAATAAGACACAGATCCTAATAGGAAGTGACACCAAAAGAGCACATGGTTAGTGGTTTCATTTCGTATTGCGAAACTTCCAGTTTTCATTTTCAGTTTGCTGTGTGTGTGTGTGTGTGTGTGTGTGTGTGTGTGTGTGTGTGTGTGTGTGCATGCACAAGGTTCACCTTCACTTTTATAAAGGCGACTTCAAGTTCACTGTACTCTCATTATACTGTTAATATCTAAAACTAAAACATAATTCATGTGTCAGAAAAGGCTTTCCAACTAACCTCAGTGGTAGCCACACAGGCAATATACATATAGTTTTGCAGCAGTTGCTGTTACTCTTAATAATCCACAGACCAGGAGGTCAACAGTTCAGCAGATCATAGGGGCTATCTATTTGGTAAAGGTCTTCCAGAAGAAAAAACTGTTGGCAGCTTATTCTGGGTTGTGTGGGCAATGTTTGTTTCTGTAAAGAAATGCAGAATGCAGTGTTTTAGTTGTAATTTTTAAATGCTGTGAGTACTGAGAAATCTGAGCCACGGGCTTCCAAAAACCTTTGCAGTTGTAATGTGGGTGATCAAAACCTTTAATTTTGCAACTGGTTCAGGTGGTGGTTGTCAAGCAATAATACTTTTGGATTAATAATGTGTGGAAATGCATCACCTTATCATTGAGAGCAAAAAGAAAAAGAATATAGTGTGTAAAAACTAAAGCTCTGCATGGTAAGATACGGCTATATGCTGTTATACTGTATGTATTTGTCTATTTTGTAATTTGGGTGAAGCAACTCATTAGTTGTTATTAATAGAATTACAGAAAATGCAATAAATATTTTGTCCCGTACATTATTCTAAAAAATGAAAATATTTACAAATTTCTTTTGTGCGTAATGGAGATACTAAATTGACATAATTTCCATCCCTTGCCAGTTCCTCTGCTTGAAGAACATCCGCAAATTCTTGATGTCTTGCTGTGAGGTGTTTGAGATGAAGAAAAGTGACTTATTTGAAGCCTTCGATCTGTTCGATGTTCGAGACTTTGGAAAGGTAACAACCACATCCATCATTCTGTTTTTCTGTTACAAAAACACAAAAATCACGTATGTTGATATTATCAAACGATGGTCAAATTTCCTCCGTTCTGTTCTTTTCTGCTCTCCTTCTTTTAGCTGCCTTTTTACCTAGTTGCAGTTATTTTTGAAAGTCTTGAAACTTCGAGCATCTAGCACCTTTTACAAGCGCTTTTACAAGGGAAATCAGTTTGACTCAGCACATTGTTTGTTAAATTCATGCAACATCTGTTACAGCTGTGTGATGATGATTGCGCTGTTCGAAACAACCAGGGGAAATTAGTGACACAAACGTCAAAACTGTGTTCTAACTTGCAAAATAACTGAGTGGCAAGAAAATGACATAAAGATGTTTCAAAAGAAAATGTTGTAAGACAAAACTCTTCAAAGACAGCAAAATATATATTTTTTAATAATGTTACCTAAAATCCTTGGTTTGCATCTGCAATTAAATTAATAATAAATATGAAGTATTTTTCATTGTGAAATAAAATCTGAATGAAATCTGCACTCACAACCTGCACTCATGTTAAACTTACTATTCTCCATAGTGTATGTGTTTAATAAACATAACTGCTCAAAGACAACTAGAAATCATTAAACATGAAGTGCATCACTGCATTTGTAATCTTTATGTGTATACTGCAGTAATATAGTAATAAATGTGCCTGCCTGTGCATCACCTTTTCAGATATACTATGGGGAATACATGTAGTTTAGCATAATAAGACCCGTGTGATATAGAGGCAGTCAGGGGTGTGATGTCCTTCCTTCTGATGGTGTGTGAGTGAGTTTAAGAGCGTTCAGTATTTGTCCACCCAATGCTCGGTCTTGCATTTTTCGACTGCACTTCTGAAGGGATTGGTTGACATCTTTTTATTGCTGTGTTATTATGGGAGCTGTGTGTACACAGTGTTACCAGGTCAGTGGGTTTGTAGTGCGCTCCTCTTAGCTACTCAGTGGACCCTTATTTAACTCTGTGGAAGAAAGCACACTCACACATTTCCATAGATCAGTGCATTCGGTGCATAGCTTTGCCTTGGAGCATCTCTGGGTTATCCATGGGGAAATACATTATTAGTTATTTCAAACCATTGAACTATTGACATTTATTTTCTTTGCATTAATCTGTACTAATTAAATTAATGTCCACACCTTCTGTTTTAGCTGAGCTAAGCACAAATCCATTGACATTTTTCACTAAACATTTTCTCATCATTCGATCCAGTATAAATATGATATGTAATGATCATAGTAATTATATTAATGTTAAACTTATTTTTGCGTTTGTTCGCGCTTTTAAAAGAAAGTCAACTTTGTCTACCAATTAACTCATGTTAGATATGTGATTGTAAAACTCATACAGATTTGAATTCTCCAGGCAAAAGGTATATCAAAAGTACTTAAGTCAAGCATATTATGCATGATTAAACATTTTAATTCACTTTCCTGCAGAGAATATACAGGGGTCATTGGTGTGAGGGATTGCATATTGAGCTTTGCGTGCAGTTTCCCACACAGACTCTTTTCTTTCAGTTCAGAGTGTTGTGTTCTAAAGAAGCTTCCAGTTAATCTGGCTGCTGATAATCCCACAGGGGAGGTGCTGCCTGCAAATATGTACAGTACATCCAAGCCGAGCTGCATAATCTCAGTCATGTTCAAGGGTTGTCCATCAGTCAAACAAGCTTCCGGAGGGGGAAGATTGCGTTGCATCATTACTTTTTTTTTTTTCACCATTAGTTAAAAAATACGGGTGTCTGCAGGTTAGAGTGATTGAGTTGGAATGGCTCCAGGAAGGGTTGTACAGCTGAACAAGAAATGCTCAATCTCTTCCTTATTTTCCAAAAAACATTCAAAAGAGAACATCTCAAATCTCAGCCAGTCTAATCCACTGGGGTTGAGCTGTGCCAACTCTGCCCGTAGACGGAGCATTAGTCCACTGAATATCTAATGAGAGCTCTCTAACCTACATTCCTCTGCTGAGTTACTACAGACTTCACCCCTGACAGCCACGCTGACTGCATACAGCAGCCTGTAGGCCAGAGAGATGAAGGGAAGAGACAAGCAATATGTTTATTTCTCCCCTCAACTTAAAATGATGTCAGCCTTGACTGTAAAAGCAAAAGGTTTGCTTAGTAAATTCAAGTGAACGGAGAAGAGCATTTTACACTGAAGGATTTTTTTTCAAGGTAAATAAACCTATTTGCTCTCTTCCCGAGAGCCAGGTGAGAGGATTGACACCACTCTCTTGTCTGTATGGTAAATATGTCGCTACAGCCTGAAGGCAGTTAGCTTAGCATAAAGACTGGAAACGGGGGGAGAACTAGTCACCAGTCCTCGGAAGATCACTAATTGATATCTCGTTTGTTTGATGTCCTCGAGTCTCTTTTTGTTGCCTGCCTGGAAATTACATAACCCACACATAAACCCAAAATATACAGTTTTTACACTTCAGTTTTTGCATGGGTTAATCAAATGATATACCTTTAACTTGCTGTGTGTTTGAAGTTCTTAAAAATGAAACCCTATTGCATTTAATTAGTTTTTTGTTCACACGTGTATGTGTATAATTTAGACGAAAAACACGCATATTTGATTTATGACATTGTCTTAGGGTTAGGGTTAACTTTCCTTTCGTTTACTTTCTTATTTTTTTGGTGCTCTGGTGATTTAAGATACACTTTGTAAGTAGGCCACACTCACCATGGCGGTTGGACTTAAGCTGAGCTTGTGGCTTTGCTTCTCAAGTCACATGTGGCTTAAAGTAAGTGACAAATCATCCGATAAGTCAGGTGTGTGAACAAACGTTTGATTTTTTTAGTGTATTTATATGGCTTCTTCCTGTTTTCTTGAAGGACTGATTAGTTATTAGAGTATTGCAAAAAAAAGCCCAGCATCTGCTATCTAGTGAAGGGTGTGATGTGTGAGAATGAAATTTACACTGATAGTGATAAAGTTTCACAGAGTTCACAGAGAGCACCACAGAAATCATTCATCAATTTTTTTTCTCTCTTAATACACAATGTAGTCAGAACAAAATCTTGCGGATTAATTTTCAGCATTTCATGTCCTCGTATCTATTTACCTTTAGGCCCAAGGTGTGTTTCATGTGTCTAGTTGTGGAATAATGACGCAACTAAATATTAGAGCTGAGAAAGTACATAACGCCATATTTCAAATAATGTTAATCAAAGGCAGACGTTTTGTTTTGTTTCAGGAAAGAGATCTGCTCTGTAAATAACTTGTAAAGAAACAGAGGGCTTTTTCAGTTTTAAAGCTGGTCTCTCGCACTACAAACATGTCTCTTTGAGATGACATGCACACCTGGGTTCAGCCAAAGCCACAGCACTCATTCACACAGGAAGAGGCAATAAACTGCACATTGACAGGCTGTTATATCTAACCCCATCAACTATCTTTTTTTAACCATGCCTGCAAATCCAAATCCTGAGAACACATTTCATTTGTAGTGCTGTTACTTGAATCTTCTTCATATACCAACCAGAGAAATTATTAGATAGGAGAGTTAACTGACAGATGAATCCCCGCCCTTTGCTAATCTGGGATTTTTTTTTGGAGATAGGAGCATGATATTATTATGTTTATAATTACATAAAATACAAGTTTCACAGCAGGCAAACAACCTGATTTTCCTACGGCGGCTTCCTATCATGTCATCCTTATCAAGCACACCCATTTCCTTACACTATTTCTCCTGTGGCATCTACGGACTATATTATATGAACTACTGTATGTCCCAACATTGACCAAGACAAGCTGATTACAGCATATGTGATCCATCTGTGGGGTCAGTAAATGATCTCGTATCTGAGTGGATAAAATTGATGTTCAGCGTTCATGGACTTGTTTTTTCATGAGCCCTGGTAAAGGAACACTAAGGATTATTATAGCACAGAATTCAAACCAGTTCTGCTCTCCAGTTTAATTTATGTTAGCAGACTTCAGACACATAAATGCACAGCAAATGTACGATTATTGCATGCAGTATTATAATGTATTTATTTATTTGACTGTACTTGAATTTCCCTCGGGATAAATAAAGTATCTATCTATTCATTTAAAATCTAACTGAAAAGTGCCTTTGTAGTACACTACAGATCTCTTAATCAGACCTCTCTCACTTTCTTTTTCTTTAACACACACCCCCACCACCACCACACAGACACGCACTCACAAAGAGCCTGGTGCAAAGGTGTGAGAACCTGAGGTAGTGTGACCATTTCCTGCAGACCGTGCGTGTCTTTCTCTGTCAATCTGTCTGTTTGTCCGCTACCTGTCTCTTGCTGTTGATTTCAATTTTGAATGTAAGAAAAAAAGGACAACAAATAGTTTGCACATTACATATATGCCATATTGCCTTTTCATAGAGGCAGCTAATGTGTGGCTTACTTAGCAAGACATTGGTTACTGTTGGAGGTTGGATGATGGCTGGAGGCTGAATAGTTGCTAAGATGTTACAAATGTGGTAGCTAATTGGTTGCTAAGTCATGTTGGTGTGTTTTTTGGTGGTTGCTACATGGTTTCTAATGCATTTTGGGCAATTAAGAGGGCTTCCTGGTTGCTAAACGGTTGCTAAACAGTAGCTAGAGGGTTGCTAAGGTGTTTCAAAGGTATTCTCTAGTGTGAGTTGCTACTGCATTTTGTGGCTGCTTTGACTTATGGAGGGATACATTTAGAAAAGGGAAAGATTCCCCCGTTTTTACGATAAAATAAAAATAAAAACAAAAATACTGTGCATTGAAAATTTATCAGATTGATTTAAGCAGCAAGTCAGATACTGCATACCAGAGCTTTAAGAGATTCTGAGTTTCAGTCATAATTTAGGCTTGGATGTTGATGTTTACAGCTCAGAATCTGGTAATGACAACAACATTAGACATTAATGTGGCATTAACTTTCAGTGGCAAGTTTCTATTTCTCTCTGTCTCTCTCTCTCTCCTGCTCTCTTTAAGTCTCCCTGAGCCACTCAGAAACATGAATTAACACTCCTTTTTTCACCAGGTTATGGACACTCTATCCAAGCTCTCTAACACAACAATTGCACAGCAAGGAGGATTCAAGTAAGTCACTCAATAATAAAAAGAAAGAAAGAAAGGAAGAAAGACATTATCAATTACATTACATAAAAAAAGTGCCCCCCAACCCTTGACTACCTTCACTTTGACGTCATCGCCACCTCCCCACCCCTTACCGTCTCTGCAACCACAATTTCCAGTTTTATGAGATATTTGACGTTATTACCAGAAATGAGAAATACCAGTTGTTTCCAAACACTGATTTTCTTTTATAAAACAATCTGTTTATTGAAAGGTCTAGAGTAAACAAAGCACAATCATTAACAACAGCCACATGTCAAATAGGATATGACAAAATAAGAGTGCGCACTGGGAGACAGAAAAGAAAGAAATGATGATGTTTTTCATGAGATTGTTACTTTTCTCGTGATTAAACTATTTTATTTAATTTTATTTTATATGTTTGTATTATATGAATTTTTTTTCCAATCTGTATATTTTTATTTTGACATCTTTTGTAACTTCATCCATCCACTAAACATGAGAATGAGGCGGTTGCAGATCTCATTTCAATAAAATTAGGCTCGTGGCCCCAAATGCTTTTTTTCAAGCTGCATTAATAAATATGCAAATTTGTCAGCTAGTTTTGACCAATTTGTGTCCTTTTCTGCTGTACAAAAGCATAAAAAGAAAAGGAAAAGAAAGGATTTTTAGGCTATTGTAGATATTTTAATACAACTAAATAAACAGAAAGTTAGTTTCCCGCCCTAAATCACTCATTAATTAGAGTTACTTCATTGTGATTTTTCTGTTAAACTCTGAGCCTCATGCTGCTTTCCTGTCATTTCCAGGCCATTCCCAACCGAGGAGAGCCTAAAAGACGAGGATATTTACAATAATCTGGAAGACATGATTGAGTATGTATGAGGCTCCTCTCTGTGGGCCCATTATTGGTGTTGGTGAGAACATGATTAAGTAGCTCAGTAGCAGAACCAGCTCTGCTCATCATCCATGCTCTCCAGGGGTCTAGACACCCACATGTTTTGGTAAAAGGCTTGGCTCCGTTTCTCTGTTACTGTCAGAGGGAACGAATGAGTAATTCTGCATGTGTTTGCTGAGAGATTGCATACCACCCACATCAAGTCCTCTGGATGAGTGCTGATGACAGTTTGATTGACATATAAAGATGAATAAGGACAATGTATAGAACACAACTGATACAATTTTAGTATTATTTTCATGTCACATTAGAGTTTTAGAGCCTGTTCTTTGAGTTGTGCGTTATGCCATTCTAAAGTATTTTATTCTCTAATACATGTATTGATTTGTGGTTAATGATGAGTTAATGAATATGAGAATAAGAGAGGCCTAAGTCTTGTATTCTTCATGTATTACTCTATTACTTAATGATTTCTATAATGAATTTGTCATGACGTATACACAAAACCTTTTGTTTATATGTGTATATTTCTTACTGTTTAACATTGCATTTAACATATAATTGTTAATATTGTCCACAAATTGTTGTCCCACAAAAAGTCATGTGTGACAAATTTTAGAGACGTTAATGTGTGTGTGTGTGATAGTGAGAATGCCCCTGAGGATGAGGACGACTTGTACGCCGCAGTCTATGGGCTGGAAGAAGACAACGCAGGTGGAGAGATCTATGAAGACCTCATGAGGACGGAGCAGCATCCCCCATTGGTACAGCAATGAGTCACATCACACACACACACACACACACACACACACACACACACACACACACACACACACACACACACACACAGAATTTAGGTCTAAACTGAATACCTTGAAATGGCTTCAGGGTCGATGTTGTTGGACAACAGATTCAAGATTCAAGATTCAAGAAGCTTTATTTATCCCGAGGGAAATTACTGTGCAACAGTTTCAATACAAAGGTGGGAAAGTAATACAGGATTAGAGTAAAAATAAGCTAACATAGAATAAAATAAAATAAAATAAAATAAAATAAAATAAAATAAAATAAATAATAAAATAAAGGCTAACATAAAATAAATCAAACAATTAACTAAATGCAACAAATGCAAGCACTTACAGATAACATAAGTAGAAAAAAAGAAAACAAGTAACTCAGTGTGACAAAATGCAACAAAAATTGCAGTTAAACGTAGGTATATACAATATACAACAATACGCACCGTGCAGTTTAGCAGCATAAATTGAAATAAAATAAGTACAAACTAAATAAGTGATAAGAAGTGATTGGATAAAGTGGTAACAGTGATAAAAATTGTAGCAGCATTTGTTAGCAGCATAAATTAACTAAGCTACAGTACAACTAAATAAAGTGATGAAGTGAAATTTGGGTAAAAAAGTGACATTTGCTCGACCGGAGGTTTATACAGTCTGATGGCCACAGGAAGAGCATGTAAGCAGTGTTATTATAGTATTTAAGTATCCTCTGTCACACACCATCATGGCCCTTCCTCAAAACCTTGAAACCTCTCTTAAGCACAGTAGTCAACTAAATGTACTTTGTTATTTTCCACTACTGTTATTAACTTAACTCTGAGCACCACAGATGTCTGTTTTGGGCCAATTATTATTTACAGTTTGGCCCTTGCTGTTACCTGTCAAGTTGTGTATGCAGATGATGCAGTAAAGTACAATTCTAAGTTTCTGTATTAAGTAAAGTAATTTACCTGTTAATCTTCAAGAGTAAGAAGTTTTGGACTTGACAAGCATGAAAAACTAAATCACTGAAAATGTATAAACCATCTCATTTTGTGCAGTATCTAAGATTGATTAGTCAAAATCAAATGAGATAATAATAGATAGGAAAATACTTCTAAAACTACAAATACTAGTATGATCAAAAGTATAATAAATATAGAAAATTCACATGTAATACTTATGTTATACCTGTATACTGAAGTATTGGTCTTTTTAGAAAAACTAAAACATACCGAAGCAATTTCCCCCATTTTATGATTTACATTTGAAATGTTTTTGTTGATCTCGACCGGACCCCGAAAGGTCGAACTCAGCTGTGATCTCAGAGTGTGTCGACTGTCCATCTATTCATGAGCTGCACCAAATTGTTGTGCGTGATGCACGCAGGAGGAAGTGTGCACATGCCTCCGAAAATACTGTAGCTTGTAAATAGCTTGTTTTAAAAAAAAAAAAGAACACAAAAGAAAATTCTTGTCTGCAGATAAACCTACAGAAGAAAATCAAAATGTTCTTTATTGGATAGTAATATTTAAGCAACATTTTCTAAGGTGTGTGTCTTTCTAGAAGCAGGCAGAAATAGATGTCCGGAGCTGCTGCCTTACAGAGATCAAACAGACAGAGGAGAAATACACAGAGACCCTGGAATCCATTGAGAAGGTACTGAACCTCCCTTAATTGTCAAACCCAAATGATGGATTTCTTGTTGTTAAAGCATTACATCCTAATTTACCTAAGTGATTAATTTATATATTTCACGTCAAGCACAACATTTATGTTGATCATTGATTTGGTATCAGTCGAAGAGAAGTTGAGAGATATCACATACTCATTTTTAACGACAGGTGATCAAACATCTAACAAAAAATCTGTAAATAGAGCAAATATTTTACATTTATTTAGGGGGATTTCAGGGAACTTCCAGATTATCAATTCCCTAATTTCACATGCATAGTCCTTTTATCTGAAACCTCATATGAAGTCTGTTATTAGTTTCAATATGAGTGCGCCCCAGCTATTGGTGTTGTCGTCGTCATGTCACTGCTTGTTATAAATTACCATTAAGATAGTTGAATAATCAGTTTGTTAAGGGGGTTTGTGGAGAAGAGCTGAACTGTTTCATGTTTTTATCTTTTATTTCTCCAGTATTTCCTGAATCCTCTGAAGAAATTCTTCTCTGCGGCTGAAATTGACAAAGTTTTTGTCAACATTCCGGTAAGTCCCACAAAGTTTCCCCTCTGGTGATGTGACATGAAAATAGTGTTTGCGTGCAGGTACTGATGTCTTCTTTCTCTAATGCAGGACCTGGTTAAACTTCACAAGAGCCTGATGGCTGACGTGCAGGACTCCATCTTAAACAAAAATGCCTTAAATCTCTACCAGATTTTTATCAGCTACAAAGAGAGGTAGCTAATCATGAACACCATTCATTCATGTTTATAGTTAGGTTACAGGGAAAGCATATCAGTCTACTTTTGATGCTAATTTCTATAAGTTTCTCTTGTGTGAGTTTCATGAATGTGTTTATAATTTAAAAGGCCTTAAATAACACATTGCATTGGAATCTTCCAAAATGCCCCCCCATTTTGTCTCTGTAATTAGCTTAATGTGTGCCCTTCACCACTATACTTCCCCTCACACTTTTAAGTCATCGTCAAACCAAAAGCACTACAAACTAGTAGTGAATACATGTAGAATTTAATTGACACATGCTTTTTGAAAAATAATCTTCCAATATCAGAAGAAGGATTTCCTTGAGAGTCATATCAGGATGTCGTGTAGAGGACTGTCAGAGAATCATGTCTTTATCACGGACAACATGATTGCAACATCTTATGAGTGAGATCTGTATCCGTATATGTACTATATGTTCGTTTCTCAAAGTCTCCACAATGACTAAACTGCCTTTCCTCTGAATTGTAGACTGCTCATTTATGGGATTTACTGCAGTCAGGTGGAGATCGCCATCGCTGTTTTAGACCTCCTTTGCAAAGAGAAAGAGGATGTTCGTCTAAAGCTGGAGGTGAGACACCTGAAGAAACTGGCCCCTCAATAACACAGATACACACACACAAACCCATGTAAACAGATCCAGTTTTCTAGCGGCCCCTAGTGTTTAGTTTATGCACTACAAATACAAAGGGAGTATATATATATATATATATATATATATATATATATATATATATATATATATATATATATTATTGATGCCCAGATGGGAAAATTGGCAGTTGCAGCAGCACAAGGAAATTAGTACAGATAAATATAGAGAGTAAAAATGAATAATAAGAGGTATATAAAACTAAAAGAAGAATAGAAGAATAGCAATTATAAAAGGGCAATTAAAGACGCAATTATATATTCAAAAGTGACAGTGATGTGATGTGATTAGTATCAGCAATGTGTCTTGTTCTCTCCAGCTTTAAATGACTTAAAAACTTTACTGTACTTATATAAATGGCTTTCAATAGCTCATTTTATGTGATAGATTTGAAATAAAAGTAAAGATAAGATAATAAATGATATAGGTTTAAAATCGTTGTTATATCCGCCATCATTTCTTTATAAGCTGTGAGCTTGGTGTGAGCTGTTTAAAACAGAATAGGATACAAACATATACCATACTCAATTTCACATGACAATTTGCTTTAGGTCTGAGCCCTAAAAGAAATAAGAAAAGATACATAAAAGCTATGGCAAACACATTGTTTTGTGTCTTGGTTGAGCCATCCTTGTGAAAAAGCCTCAGTAACACCAAAGAATGTCAACTGTGAGAAGATGCATATTAGTTCATGCTAAATATGTGTGTTATTTGTTCCAGGAGTGCTCAAAGAGAGCCAATAATGGGAAGTTTACTCTGAGGGACCTGCTGGTTGTCCCGATGCAGAGAGTCCTCAAGTACCACCTCCTTCTTCAGGTAAAGTTTGACTCTGCTAATTTAAAGCAAGAGTGTCAACCCACATGTCATGGAAAAACTGAGAGTCTGCTCAATTTTTAAAAGAAAATATATTTATTTCAGAGATCAGCCCTCCCTGACTAGATAAAGGTTTTGTTACTTGACACTTGTTTTGACACCCCTTATTTTATGTTTGATTTTTGAATGAATTTGCTGAATCAGAGTTCTTATTTCCCTTTATGTTTTCCTAAAATTACTTTATACATTAAAGTAATATATACAATAATAATATACATATATACAATTTTAAATAGCAGCTCCACTGGAGCCTTCAGGGCTTACTGCCTTGCTTTTGTTTCAAGGACCCCCAATTGATACACATCAGGCTGCAAACCTGTATTTGATAAAATGTAGTCTCAGGAAACCCTGTCTGATAAGATTAAGTTATTCCTATAACTGTCTATACTGTAGATTGGCAGATTGATAGTAAAGAGTGTGAAAACTAAGAACATAATAGTAATTCTTATACATTTATGTCATTGGTTTAACTTCTAGCCAATGAAAAAATTGTGAAATTAAAATATTCTCCATTTTTCTGGGGACCACTGGGGGACCTCGGACCCCAGGTTGAGAACCACTGCTCAAAGGATAGCACATACATGCTTATTTTATTTAATTACTTTTTAAGGAGAGCAAGTTTTTATTCCTGTGAGACCAGGGCAGGAAGGATTAAACATTATTTCAGTTTATTCAACTTGTATTATGTTTTCTTGTCAATATAAAAGTGACCACTTGAGGGCAACATTCTCCACATTTCTACATGTTTGCCTCCCTTCACAGCATCCTCACACTACAAAAATACCATCCATTTTGACAAGTCATTTAGGTCTTTGTATTTAGTCTTCATATCTCACATCTCTCAAAGAAACAGTGACTGAATGAAGTGACATCACTGTGTCAATACAGTTTAGAGAATTGTTCTCAAACAAGGAATATTATTAAAATAATTATTCCTGGTGTGTCTGTGACCTGATTGCAAGATAGATTTACAAGTGAAATTATCATTACCTCACTAATTGATTTTATACATGATTACAAACTTGTCTTGCAGTGTAGGTGTACTTTTACCTCTATAGAAACCAGACATGCAGTCTTTTAAAATCCCCCCAATTCCACTGCCTACTGATAACTGTGTGACGCAGTCTCCCCTGGTTAGTATGAATCAGAGGTCAGGCAATAGCTGGCAAGGCAGATGAGGACTATGAAAAGAAAGCTGTTTTAAATTGTTGTGGAGGGTAAAGACCTCCACGGTAAACGGCGGTAATCCCGCGTGTTCTCATCTGCCCTCTGAGGAGAGACTTTGAGTAGAAGGTAACAAGGGAATAGTTAATCTCTTCATTTTCTAATGATATATGCAATATAATGAAGTGTAAACATGCCTAAAGTGTTTCTACAGACCTTTTATATCAGATACATATAATGTACATATTGCTGTAATCATGATTAAGTCTTCATGATTTAACTTTGCTACTATACACAGCACATACACTATTGGCAGCATGTCATTAACTGTATAGAATTAAGCATAAAAAAATAAATAACCACGATGCTGCAATACTATCCTGATAAAATGGTGAAACTGGTGTATCCAGAAGATGAAGATTCACATTATGATGTGTAATTATATGTGCTGTGGAAATGACTCAGTTTGGACTAGTATAAGGTTATTTGTCTCATGTCCTGTGCTGTTTGACTGGTGTTTTGATGGCAATGAAACCAAAAGGCACCAAAGGAGCAGATTTCATGGTGCCTCTGTGCTGATTACACTCCCCAACAATAACTTCCATGTGTTGAGTAATCAAATAAACATGTGTAGGCGTTGGCGGGATGATGCCAGAACATCCCCTTTCTTCCCATTTCTGGCAGTAAAATACCATTTGATAGCATTTGTATAAATATAAAAAAAGATAAATCCTATTTATGTGTCTATTTAATGTTTTTTCAGTTTATTAAAAATGAAGGATTATACTCCTGATGCACATGTGCCAGTCTTTGCCTGAAGACCACTTTGTGCCCTCAAATGAGATTAATTTAAGAAAAGTAGCTGCTCCCTGATTATTATTTTCGGAGTATAAAAAGTGCTTTGTTTGTTATAAGAACGGCATGGAGGCATTCGGTTGTGGAAGAGATCTTTTTACTCACTGATCATCATGTTTAGCTATCAAATGATGTAGTGAAATAGCATAAAATGGAAAGGCTGTAAAGTACAACTACTTTAAATGTATAGTAAAATATAACAATTGAGTAAATGCAAATTGTTCCATCACAGATTTTTGCTGTACAGCTTTATATTGTATATTCTTACAAGACATATGCTTTACTTTTAGTGTATTCATTTTTACGGTATTAACTGAAATAAGATTAATTTGAAAATTGTAAGTCTTCAATTTTTTTTTCTTGTTAGTAAAACTACATGGTGGCACTTCAATTGATCTTCATTATGAAATCAATAATCCAACAATTCGTGCTAAATGTGTACTTGAGAGTGAGTTTTATCCTGTGAAGATAGTGCATAACTTCTGTTCCGTCTTCCTCTAACAGGAGCTAGTGAAACACACTCACGATGCTGCTGACAAGAGCAACCTGAAGATCGCACTTGATGCCATGAAAGTAAGTGCAGTGCTTATGGTAAATGCCCTGTAATCATTGTGATTTCAGCTTGTCACCAATAGCAGGCTATTTAGTGGATAATTCCAAACAGTCTCTGCCACTCAACTACCGGCTTTTATTAGATAAATGGTTCTGAATTAGTGTGAATTGATAAAACTTTACATTTATATCACATTAGTGAATGCTGACTGCCGTATTTGCTTTTCCAGCCCTGAAGGGAGCCAGGGGAGCAAATGCATAACGTTAGACAGCTTGAAGGCTTGATTCATACTTCACACAGTGTGCTCAGCTAAGATAAGCACAAAATAAAAACAATGTAAAACATAAACATGTGTATAAAATTAAAGAAATAGGTTGGTGTTTTATGAAGTGTGTTTATATGCTTTCTTGCCGAGAGTGAGGTGAGAACATTGATATTGTCATATCTGTATGTTAAATATGAAGCTACAGCCAGCAGCCGATTACCTACTTGCACCTCTAAAGCTCCTTAATGGACAGATTGTATCTTGTTTTTTTTGATCTACCAAAAAAGAAATGTAAAAAAGACAACTTACAGTTTTATGGAAGGTTATGCGCTCGACTATCACCTGTAAAACGGCAACTTGTTGTTTCTGGTCCTTGGTTTTAACAAGTTAGCGGTTTCACCCTGTGTCCAGTCTTGATGCTAAGCTTAAGCTTAGATAGCCTAACCATCTCCTGGCTGCAGCTTCATATTGAACAGTCAGATACAAGAGTGGTATTGATCCTCTCACCTAACGCTCAGAATGAAAGCAAATAAGTGCATTTTGAAAAAGTCTATTTCCCAAAATTCATAAAGAATTCCTTTAAATCTATAGTACAGAATATCATCATACTTTTGACATATTTCACTACCTCAAGACTGAACTAATCCAACAAAATATGTCTGTGTTTGTGCATCTGTGTGTGTCTGTTTTGTCCAGGACCTGGCTCAGTATGTCAACGAGGTGAAGAGAGATAATGAGACTCTGAGGGAGATCGAACAGTACCAGAGGTCTATTGAAAACCTGGTAAACCAAGAATCTTTTCCTACAATTATCAGCAGCTATTAGTGTACACTGGATAATATTTGGAATAGCCTGAAGAAATCAGCCAGTAACATGAGATAAAACTTGCAGACACCTGCATTCAATGTATGAGACACCTGATCTTTACAGTCTTTACTGACTTACAGAGTTAATGCAGGTAAATTATGGAAGGTTAATATACTTATATATACTGATCTTACCCTCTTGCATTCCTGTGATTTTTCTGTAGATATAATGTTTGGCTTTTTACCTTTTTTCAGAATTCTGTTCCCAAGGATAATAAAGATAAAGTCCAAAAGACGCTTATAACATGTCATACAGGTTTAGAGCTTAAATGATTAGTTAATCAATCAATCACTTAATTAATTGACAGAAAAACTAAAAAAGATCTTAAAGTAAATCTCCATAGGTTTTAGACTGTTGATTGTTGATGGTTGAAAAAATAAAAGACATTTGCATTCGTCACCTTATGCTCTGGAAAATTATAATGGGCACTTTTCATTATTTTCTGAAAACTACTGACTGAGAAAATAATCAGCAGATTAATTATTGATTAAAATGATTATTACTTGTAGCCCTATACCAGTCAAAGATATTATTCATAGCGACAGCATCTCAATAAGACATTATTACTGTAATTAAAATATCAAATTAAACAGCTTTTATATATCTGAGGGACACCCGTTGAGTACAATTCAATTCAATTTTATTTGTATATTGCAATTCATTACAGAAGTTATCTCAGGACACGTTTCAAATAGAGCAGGTCTAGACCGAACTCCTTATAACATTATTCACAGAGACCCAAAAGTTCCCACCATGAGCAAGCACTTGGCGACAAGGGCAAGGAAAAACTGCCTGTTAAGAGGCAGAAAGAGACAGATCCTTCGGCTCTAAGTGGGTGGTCGTCTGTCTCGACCAGTTGGGGTGAGAGAGAGAGAGAGAGAGAGAGACACAGACAGAGAGAGAGAGAGACACAGACAGACAGACAGACAGACAGACAGACAGACAGACAGACAGACAGACAGGTAAACCCCATCATCCCAGGGCCATACAGGGCACACCTCAAACATATCATATGTAAGGTAGACTATATGTAATACAGATCATACATAAGGCAAGAGATGCCATCGCCAAATGTGGTAATAAGAAAGCAGAACAGGATGAGATATGGTGGTGAAGGAAGTAATCATTTGACAGAACCAGTCGCAGGTTGGAAAAAAGCGTAACCAGCAGTGGAGGCATTAGGAGTGAGAGCGCATTAGAGTTTGTCAGGTTATAAAGACCATCTCCTTGATTGAGCAAAATTGGTGACTTGAGTGAATGTCATTGTTGATAACAACTGACCAGCTGATGGTGCCAGAACTTACATAATGTTGAACTGGGAATACCTTACTATTCAATCTGGGGGATGGAAGAAATACAGTAATGTGTTATGGGGGTCTGTTGGATCCCTCTCCTGAAATAGGTGTTTTTTATTTGGGTTATATTTAAGGGTCAACATGACAACAATATGATCCGTTGGTGAACGTGTTACTAATTAATGCATTTATTTCATACATAATTCATATACATTTGAACCCCCCTCTTGTTCTACTTTCAGAATCAGCCTCTAATCAGCTATGGTCGACCAAAAGGTGATGGAGAGGTGCGCATGGTCAGTGTTGACAAGAGGAAACAAGACAGGTTGTTCTACTTCATTGTCCTGAAAAAGAAATTAGTATTACAAACAGAAAAAACACACATGAAATGTCTGATGATCTGTAGCTATTCAGTATATTCAACATAAGGGTCGACAAAGCTAATTTTTGTTACTTGGACTCACTTATTATCTTACATACCTGCCTGAATACAAGTTGGCAAAGATCATCCTTTCTGTTGCAATAAAAACTGTATGGGAATACAGCTAAAAAGCTAAATAAATCACAACTATATATTCTCATATAGAGCAAATAAGTACTTGCTCAGACATACAGATTCCTATGAAAGCCCTGAAAGGCAAGGGGATTTTTTTTCTCCATCTGTTTTCAGAGTTGAAGAATAAAAAAAAGTTACCTATAAAAATGTCATCTGTTTTCACAGATGAAAAACATTTAATTAAACATTTTTTGTCATACATATACAATAGTTTAATATAATATGACAATATAATATTCTGCCTTCTTATTTCACAGACACATCTTTTTATTTGATATGGCCGTCATTGTTTGCAAGAGAAGAGGAGACAACTATGAGATGAAGGATATACTGGACCTCAACTACTTCAAAATCACAAACAACCCCACCTCTGACAGAGAGGGTAAAAAGGTCAGTTGGCAGGAGAGACACGATAGACTTCTATGCATATAAATAAACAGATGCTGCACTTGTATACTGGTATTTGTGCACTTTGCATTGCATTGAATATTGGCTCACTATCTCTGTCTACCTCACACTGTGATTAGTTTACGGTTCATAATAATAAACTACACTACTGTATGGAAATTTTGCCATTCAACGTATTCTTGGCTGCAGATTTTATTACTAAAATAAATGTCGGGACGCCTAATAAGAATAATCCAGAATGATATCTTCCCCCTTCCTGTGTAGGGTCAGTTGTGTTTTCACCTCTCTGAAAAATTCTGATTTAGAAACCTGGAAGGAAGGCTCCCTTTTGTCATTCTGCATAGTTTATACGCTATTTTTCGCCTTGTGAGAACGTTTGCCGGCTATATTGTAATGGAGGGAACTTGTTGATGTCTTGTTGATGTATGCCCACAGATGGTGTCTTCTCACCCCGGTGCTGATTGCTAATGTGAAACTGACAGCTAGCCAGAATGAAATGGTTCTGTGGTTTCTATCAAAGGGACTCTATTATCATTGTTTACTGGATTGTGCAATCATAATGTGTGTGTGTGTGTGTGTGTGTGTGTGTGTGTGTGTGTTGTGTATGGTCTTGATGTGTTTTTGGGGGATTATGTGTGTGTTTGACATTACTCAGGATTGTCTCTAACGGTATTTCTAAATTAAAATTTTTGTACCAAACATGTAATGACATAAGCAGGTACATTATTCCTCTTTAACCATTTTTTTTTAATATGCCATCTACCTTCCAACATTTTGCTGCACAAAAAGACGCAGACACTCGCACACAGAAACACTGAAAAAGGACAAATATTCACAGACAGATAATGTGTACCTACATCCACCTCAGCACACACCCGCAAACACACACCGCAGGACAGAGATGCTAATATCAGATGATGAATGCGTGCAGTCCTCCAAGGCTGCTTATAGCTATATATCATTTTCTGCTAAATGAAACTTCAGAGTGTGAATGCGAGCACCCACACAGTCATCAATGATTTAACGCTCAGCAGAGCTCTAAAACACTCAGGACTTTGCAGGGCCGGCCAATCACTGACGGGTAAACCCCACCACTTTTCCTGTTATTAGATATGACACTACAAGCTGGAGCAGATTAGGGTGGCAAAAGCTGAGAGGCTTGGGAATTGATTAGAAATTGGTACCAAATATGCACACGGGCAAAGAATTTAACCTGTGAGTGCTGCAGTGGTAGATATGTGGCGACCAACTGTGAGAGAAAACAAACAAGCAGTAGTCAAATATTACAGCCAGATTGATTGAACACCATAATTGAGGACTTTGGTAACTGTGGCTTAGAAGTTTTGATGCTGTTTCCAAATTTAGGATGCATATGGAAAAAAAGAGATCGAATGCTCTGTCTTTGGTTCCTCCGAGACAGATTAGCAGACTCTGCCTCGCTATGATCACAGCCAAAGTCCTCTTTGGGCAGAACTCTGGGTAAACTCCCTCTGCTGCTGCTCTACGGATGTTCACAACACGCAGCAACCAACACCCTGTTGGTCTGTGAGCCTTGTGGCACCAAGACAAATGAACTAAGGCCAATGAAGATTGATGGCTGTACACGTCACACAGAGATTAAGTCATCTTTGCCTATTTTGTCCTTGTAGGAACAGAAAAAAAGCAAAGTGTCTTGGTCTGATAGGACACAATAGATGTTAGACAAAATGGTGGATAGCAATCAAGGAACGGGGTAAAAGGGGGAATTTAGGGGAGATAAAAACAACAAGGGAATTTTAAAGGCAAACAAACACCCCCCAAAAATTCTGAAAAGGTTTGTGGCAGATTTTTTTTTTTTTGTCTCTCGCCATGGCAGAATAAACAAAATATAACAATTTATTTTAGAGGTGTTCAAGAAATCTGAGGCACCCAAGAAGTTAGTGATTTAAAAAGCCTTTAATCTCAGACAGGTAAAGTCACTTGATGGATCAGGTTCCATACATCGATAATCATACATCAATAACCATACATCGAAAATCCCACACAACAGCAACAGACAAATAGAGAACTATATGCAAAACATCTGAAAATCTCTTAATAATTCACTTTTCTTTACATCCATGCAAGAAGGTACATGATTTCTTCAAAGGACTCAGATGCCTAAAAAACAAGAAAAAGAGAGAAGTCAAGTTCCCCATCAAACCAGGATATTGTTTAGTTTTCAATGTATATATTCAAAACGATTCTCTTTGTAAGAGTCTTTAAATCGCTACCGTCTTGAGTGCCTCAGATTTCTTCAACAATTCTAAACTAGTAGGATCCCCAAACTGAAGAGCACCAGAGGGACACATTTCTTCACACCCAAGCAGCTCTCCATGAAGATTGTTTTTTGACTACAACAATTTATTGTTTTTCCCGGGACTCATATTCTTGTTGGATTGTGGTGCTTGTATCTAGTAGTATCTTGCAGTGTTTGAGATAGAAGGCAGATGCAGTTGCCTTTTGCCAGGCTAGCTGTTTCCAGTCTTTCTGCTAGTCTAGCCTAAACTAAGCTGACTGTAGCTTCATATTTAGTGCACTGATATGAGACTGGTAACGCTCCTCTCATCTGGCTCCTGCAGGAACCCTGTGTGATACTCATTACAATACACATTTAGCCATGTAGTTTCCCTACATATATGTAAATGTTCACAGTGCATTCATGAGAAAATACATTCAGATTGATTGCCTCTGATTGATTCTTCCTGACCTCCGCAGTGGTGTTACGGGTTCTACGTGACTCACCAGCAGGGGCACACAGGCTTTGAACTCTTTTTCAAGACCAGAGAGCTGAAGAAGAAGTGGCTGGATCAGTTTGAAATGGCCATGTAAGTACACAGCGACATGACCACTGTGTGTATCATAGGAAAAACAAATCGTGTACTTGTATGTGCATGTGTGTGTGTGTGTGTGTGTGTGTGTGTGTGGTGTTTATTTGCCTTTGTTTGCATCCATGTTATTCCAAGGCCGAGAGAGGTGTTGACTCTTTCATGTGCACTGTTTGATCAGGCCTTTGCTGTAATCAAGCACACACTGCTGACAACAGTACGATAACACACGCACACACACACGCGCACACGCACACACGCACACCTACACACGCACAAAAACATACTACAAAAACTGTTCCAAAAAGCTGCAAAACTACAAAGAAGTCAGCATGCCTCTGTGTTTCTTCAAATCAGTGCTTTATAGAGATATATCTTTTGTATTATTTTGTAACAGTGGGAGGTTTTTCTCAGGCAGATATCCTGTCTGCTTGCTTTGTTATGTTGATTCGGGAGAATACAGTGTTGTTTTGACATTACACTCTGATTGACTGAACAAATGCTTTAGTGTTTGGGGTGGATATGTATGAAAACATCCCTGATATGCATGCTGACTACCTGCTTTGGCCTTCCTGAATACATTTTCACATCTCACAGTGTGCTGGATTATACTTGTATAAATGTATGCACTGTAAACAATTCAGTGTGTGGGGATGTACATTAAACAATGTGCAGTGTAAGTGCTTCTCTTTCTCTAACTTTAAGTAGTCTCGTACAGTATGTATGAGTTCATAAACATACATATGACCACTGGGCCCTTGACACATGCTCAAAACCTCATGTGTTATTCCCCGAACTTAGATAAGAAATAACAATTTTTCACCCCCCCTCGTCTTGAAACAGTTTTTTCCACAGGTGCGGGGTTTGTGTCTGAAAACAGCTATGTGTGCCTCTGTGCATTGGGTAATGACACCAGAAGGGGCCTATTCAGAAAGTGAAAATTGTACCTGTAAAGAGGATGCAGGCTCCTGATGAAGGACTCACTTATGGGAGCACTCAGTTTAAGTGGCTTCTGGATGGTGTGTTCAATACAAAAAGTCGTTTTTGTGTTGGTGGTGTTTGTTCACGTTCCAGAAGGGCTGCTTATTTCTGCTATGCATGTTTCCCCTCTCATGTTTGAACACATGCAGCTCAAAATTGGATTTGTCTGTGCTGATTCTAGTCCTCTTCTTTTTCATGTACACATGCACTGGGGCTAAAATTGCTTTTATTTCAGTCAGTTGATTGGGTGAATTTCAGATAATTTTTTACAAACTGGTTTTATTCGGTTTATAAAGAAATGATTAAGAATGTTTTGTATATCGAGTAAATTGACAGTTTAACATCAGCATGCTAGTGTCACAGAGGTGCCAGTGTGGCTGGTGACTCATGTTTCCATTTGACCACTTATTATTCTTATTTCCTCAGATCGAATATCCGACCAGAGAAAGCCAACCATAACTTCCACCAGTTCAAGATACACACCTTTGAAAGGATAACGTCCTGTAGTTTCTGTCACCTATTGCTCAGGTATTATTCAGGCATTATGAACAGACTCTGTTCATAATGTATAATGCTGTAGATCTAATGAAGTCCCAGTAGAGAAGAATCTTTCTACATGGGATTCAATTCCACGTCTGAGACAGGGTGAACTCCACACATTGTTCTAAGATGGAAAATCATCATGTGTTATTGTACTAGTAGTATTTTTCTGTTCTTATGAAAATACACAATCATTTTTATATTGATGGTATGAAAGGAACACCATGACATTTCACATTTCAGTCTTCAGTCAGTTTTGTAGGCACTTTAGGGAAAATTAAGTTTTTTTGCATTTAGCCTCTTACTTGGAAATTCCTTATTAGCACTGGGTTTAATTGAAATAAATAGAGACTACAAACTTTTAGCTGGCTCAGGTTTCAGCAGACAGTATCAGTTTTATGGTTTTGGAAAGCTGAAGGACATTTCTTGTGTCATTTGTCTTATCTTGAGACTGTGACAGAAGCCTGAAAATTCAAAATGTCAAGGTGTTTCTCTTAAGGAGGCTGTTATACACGAAATATATCCTGTGGTTTTTTTTGTGTCCAGGGGCATCTTTAACCAGGGATATCGCTGTCTAAAATGTGGGCTGGGGGCTCATAAGGAGTGTCTGGGTCGACTGGGAGTCTGTGGAAGAACGGGTGAGATGGAAGCCTCTCGAACTGTCAAACTGATTTGGTTTCTGAACACTTTGTAACGAGCTATCTTGAAAACTAACGGCATCATTTCCATGATATTTGCTGTACATATTTATCTCCCTCAGAGCATATATCCAAATTTTTGGTGACCTTTCCTCTAGCGCCACCACCAGGCCACAGTTTCCACATATACACACAAAATATCAAAATCTGAAAGTCATGATTGCCTTGAAATTTACTGAGCGCATTCATACTCCCTAGAGAACAACCTCTTTACATTTTGGGCACTCCATGAGCTTTCCTCTATCACCACACAGTGATGCTAGATTGCCAACCTTGCACATAAGATATCTAACAGCTGGTATACTTCTGTTGGAAATATTTATAGTATGTGGTAACCTTTTGACTTTCCCTTACTTTGCTCAAATGTCTGCTTGTACATAACTTTATTTCTGCCTCAAAGTAAAATCTAAAAAACAACAAAACATAATGCATGTATGTACACTTTCAGAAGTTGTTTAAATGAAAGCCAAACTTTACCCTATAGATATTTAGCAGTTGTTGCATCGTACTCCTATGTCAAGCTTTGGCTTTTTGTCACCAGTCTGGGGCTGTAGTTCAGGTACATTACCCACCCTGAATACACAGACAGCTAAAGGCAGCTCAGGCCTTTGACAAGGCCTCTTAGCAGAAGCACTGTGGTCTTTATGCATTCTGAGGCGTGATGAAGGCCAGCAGAGGTTGACAGTTGAGGTTGTATGTCAGGAAGCCACCATGCACTGATATTGTATTCCTCTCACTGTGTCTGTCTCTCTCCCGACTGCAGATTCTGCCAAGCCGAAGCCCAAGGTAAGACCTGGACTGTTTCCCGTCTTTGACTTAGACACCAAAGCTAACATAATTAGTGAAGCCTAACATAGCAGATATCAAAGAGCACACAGGCACTTACTCAACTATAGACAAAAGGATTTTGCTACCCACAAAAAACTATTGGTAATGCTGGTGAACAGCTTGTTCTTGTAGGTTTGCAAAGCGGAAGGAGCTGCTGGTATTGTTTTAACCAGCGTATATGCATGTTTGAAAGTTTCTTTTTAAATATTGTTCTTATTTTTCCTCATCATAGGACCACAGGCAGTGTTATTAAATCAATCATGGAACATAAATTATGATTAACTAAACTAAATTTAAACACATATATATACTATACAACTATATATAGATATATATATGGTTATTCTTGTGGCATACTTAAGGCTCCATATACTTCACCTGTGTAGAAAACAATCAGGGATTTTACTTTTGAAATCCTGGAAGGACAAAATTACTAATGAAAACAAATGCAAGAAATTCAAATGAGCTTCTCAGACATTCCTGTGTGTACAATTTCTGACAACTTAGCACTATTATACCCAAGTGGATTGTGGACAAAATAAGGATAAAAGGTCCAGTATTTTTTGTTATATATTATATATATTTTCCCAAAAAGACAAAGTACAGAGCCTCGGAATTTGTGTCCCGGTTAAAATAGTTGGACCACACATCTAAAGAGTATAAAACCCACAAATGATTGTATTAGAGTATGAGTCATTCTTCAGGTCAAGCTGATCCTGCACACAGAGTAAGAATGGCCTCTCCATTTATCAATCTCTTCCTCTCTCCAAAATTCTTTCTTTTTTCCTAATTTTCTTACTTTTTCTCCATCTTGCTTACTTTCTCTCTCCGTCCACAGGAGAGCACAACACCACCAGATCCAGGTCAGTATGCCTTGACCACTTTCCCACTTTTGTGAACCTGCTAAGGGCTTACGTGGTTCCTCTTAAGCCGCTTTCATCTCGGTTCTGTAACAAAACAGAAACATAGACAGGATGAAAAGGAGGCAGTTAGTCAGAGGCCAGAGTGAGACCGGGAGCACATAGATGGTGGTTGAAAGCTAACCCTCAGATGTTATCATACACCTCCTCTGATTTTTGATCAAATAGTACTCAACATTTTAAGAAACCCTGAAGATGTTTTCTTAGAAATGCGCTGACATGAATATCTCCTGCTCACACAAAGGGTTCAAAGGAGGAAATGAGCAACAACAGTTTCCTCTTGACAAATATATTTGACTAAGAATAACCAATGAATAATAGGATGCAGAAGGAATCCTTAACCAAAGCACAAAACAGCCCTTTTCTCACCGCATGCCGTGATGCCTAAACCCAACACGGCATTGAGATGAATTGGAGTGGGTGGAATCATTATGAGGATGGCGGCAGGAGAAATGCTGGCAGAAAAGCACTTCCAGCAGTCTATATGCCTCAGCCTCAACCACTGAGCTGTGCCTTTGTGATAAATCAATTTCCATAAGGGGCTTTATGAGAAAGACATCCGCACTTATTGTTCTTATTAAAAACATGAATGTGAGATATTCCATTCATCTGAGGTCACCGTCAGCTAATAGTTTCCTCGGGCTGGTTTGCAGGGTAGCCATGGCTGGAAGGGAGATGTGTCTGAGGGGGCTAGATGTGTGAGTCTGGGGAGAGTAAGTGGCTGTGTCTTTTAAGTTGGCAGGGGTGTTTAGTCTTAGCCTTAGCCGGATGCTTGTGGCTGTATTTGTCTGGCACGCCGAGGAAAGATTGGAGCTGTACCGTTCAGGAATCGAAGAGATGAATTTCCTGCGAGAGTAAATTGCTGCTTTCCAGGATGGTGCCATTCGGGTGGTTTAGACCTCAATAAAAAAGGCTGTCAAGGTGTCCATATTTACACGTTAGATATCAATTGTGCGGAAACCTTTAGGACAAGGACAGTAAGGGAATTTGCTTTGTACACATGATTAGTGCAAACAATATAAATAATTACCAAAAAAGATTCTCACCTACCTCTGGTGATATCTATATTTAGTTTTATCTGCCCATGTTTTGACATATCTGCCTCTAAGATTTCTGTTGTTTCTGTTGTAGTCAACCCAATACAATGGAGTTGTGAGGGAGAAATTTGTTAGTTGTGCCTTGATTAATTTAAAGGGCAAATTAACAGCAACCAAAAATCTTGGTTTTGCTGACCTCCAGTTCACCTTGCCGCAGTCATATAGAAGGGTACTCCAGGGTGTGTCAGTGCACTGCTGTTGGCTGTGGTTACAGGTGAAACAGAGCAAACTTCTGACCACCCTAACCACACACATCAATGATGCTGGTAGTGGTGAAAGGGGGGAACACACAGTTAAACACTGCTTTTAACACGAAGAAAAGCAATGAGAATAAGAGGCCCGTGAAGACTTAAAAGCATTAGAATCACTAATTTAGCTCTCCTTATACCTCCACCTAGGCTTCACCTGGGTAAATATTCAATTTTGACTGATCAAATGTTTTAACATGCAGTGTAACTCTACACATCTAGCAGAAAATATACAGAGTTTCCATTTTAGTCATAATCTGAGCAACATAGCACCCAATGATTCAAATGCCTTTTATTTTTCCCTAGAGTTCCCTCTTCGTACTGCCATTTTCAGAAAGTCTCTCTGTTATACACAGTCACAGTATTTTTAATCTATTACCGTGCAGTAATGATGAATCGATCAGGCTGCTGTTGCACTGCTGTACGTCCCTCTGTGTGAGGCTCTGTGATAAATGTCTAACAATTTGAGCGTAAATGTATTTGTATTCCCTCTCTGCTAGGTTTACCCAGGATGGTTGTGATCAGAGACTACAGTGGCGTCCCCTGTCCCCTCTGTGGGCCCCCACTAAGCATTCATGCAGGGGATGTCATTGAACTGATGTTTGCCGACCTGCACAGCTCCTGGTGGCAGGTGCGTGTCACTCAGCTCATCCTCGTTTTATCTCAACATCTGTGACTCTATGAAAAAATAACATGTTACGGCTCACCGGGTTGGCTCGGTGCACGCAATGTCTTTGCAGTGTCATCGGTTTGAATCTGGGCTGCATGTCATCTCTTTGTCATCTCTTTCCTGCTGGTTGTCCCGCTATTTGACAAAGAAGAGAGAGCTTTCAAAAATATATGAAAGGGGTGATTTATCTCCCTTTGGCCATTATTGTTTATATAACAAAAAAGATATTGCGGTTGTTTATCACATCCTGTGTCAGGTGAGACATAAATATGACATAATCATGAGGTCAGTGTTAATTAGAAATATCAGTCAAAGATCTGTATGAACTCCACAGAACCCCAGTTACATTACAAACGGGGTATCTGTCTGTTCTTTCACTCCTCAGATTGAATCACAGCCTGCATCAGATGATCTAACCAATTAGTGGCTTCAGTTGATTAATTGAGTTCCACAGTGAGACAATAAAACAGCAGACACTTCAGCCACTGGAGGATGTTTTAATGGTGGTGCACAACCTCATGTACCGGCACATTTAGCAACCATCGCACGAGGTCAGCCAACGGTTGACAGCGTTTGACCTTATCTATTTTTGAAAGGATGGCGATTTATCTGGGGTCTTCCGGCAGCCTCCCTAGCCGTTTCTCACACTGCTTTACGGCGGCATTAAAGCCTCATCCTCCTTCTGGTGCTGCTCCAATCAGACTGCAGTCTTTGCCAAAGGCACGGCTGGGAGTTGGCCGTTAGCCTGATTTCCTATGCTCCATGTTTCTCTCTGTTGTGACAGAGCACAAGGTGGAGGGTGAGGGCACGAATGCCAGGAGACTTCTTGTAAGCCGATAGAACGGCTAGGAGAATGTCATGCCGCAGACCTGATGGCAGTGCATTGTTTGCTACCATGGTAACCATGCATGCTGGGAGGGGTTAATTAAATGATAATACACAATTGTGTGTATTCCTGTCCTGTGCATAATGGAACTATAATAAGGCTCCTGTCCTGTTCCCATATATTAAACTGATATTTTACAGCAAAAAAATAACAGCAAGGGAAAAAATTTAGTTTAAGCTTTAGCAGCTAATTGTGACCAATTCACCGATGCTTTCATTAGGTCTGCCACACACCCCGTTTAACATGGTAATGTCCTGTATTGAAAAATAAAATGCACTGTTCCTTACTGAATTTTCGAGCACACCCTACTCTAATGCATACAATAACTCACATGCAGAAAAGTATTAAATCAGAATTTGTGGAAGAAAATGGCCCCTAGAATGACAGGCATGTTCTCTGTCACTCAGCATCATCGTCAATGTCGGCGAAAACCTCTAGCTTAAGTCTGCCCTTAAAACTGAAGAGGCTGTCTAAATACAGATCTGAATGGCAGACGAGTGGATCAGTACTATCATAGATTATTTTTTGCCCCCTATGGTGGACTCTTTGGCCTGAAGCAACATTCAGCAACTGCCGGGCAGCTCGAGAGCAGAGGACGCAGAGTGGATTTATTTTTACAGACCAAACATTATGCCCATGTTTATGATCTGATGTTTTAATCCTTAATATATTTGATGCAACTGTGCTTTACTCTTATTGAGTGTTTATATCAATTATATTCATGTTGGAAGTAGTAGAGGACTTTGAAATAGATGCATAAAATGCACAATTTGGTGCATACAAATTCACCAGAATGCAGGAAATAAATGATCTGAACCCCAGGCAAGTAGTGCTTTATTTCTCCACACTGAAGGGGGCAACCCTAGCTTTCACTTGATACATTTCTGCGAAAAGTCTGCAGAGGGCGTTAATGCATATCAACAGCTGGTGGCAGTAAATAGCTGTAGGATGCAATAAAAGAAAAGAAGATTAAAAAAGACTACTATCTGATGTAATTAAACAATACAGGTTTCAAAGAATACAAAATAAGGCTATGCAAGTGTTTTCAACAAGTTTGCTAAGTCTTACGGTCACACACAATGCATTTTGGTGAGAAACACTGAATCTGAACAAAACCGTGTTTGTTTACAATGACAACTCCACAGGGTACCTTTAATCTTCAGCGTCCCCAGTGGCGCCAGAGGATGGAATTACAGAACATTGAGAATTCATATCCCCTGTTACCCAGGAGGCAATTATCCCCCATCCCACTGGCAGAACAATACAATCAATCACCGTAATTTCATTTGATCCTTTGGCTGCTGCCTGTTTATGCCAACAGAGTAATAAGTTTAATCTTTATCATACGCTTATCGAAGGCATAACAAATAGAGAGGGGCTCTCAAAAAACCTTTGATGAAATGTTATTACACAGAATGAATCATAGAGATGGGTAAAGATTCGCTTTCCAATCTAGTTACTGCCGGGGCTTGCATGGTCCCAAAAAGCATTTCATACTCTAATAAAGAGGAGTGAGGAGGAAAGCATAAACAGGGCAGGAAGCTGAATGAAGAGCTCCACATGCCCTCAACACTCACTGTCTTCTCAGATTGACTTGACTTGATGGACTTCAAATTGACCTCAAACTCAGAACTGGAAACTCAAATTAAATTGAGCTTAATGTTGATATCTATGCTTATTACTGTCTACAAAATAATGTACAGGATAGAAAATTATGGTTGCGAAATAAACTGAACTACTATGTAGGCACAAGTGTGTAAAAATTAAGTAATTTGTTTAACCAGTTGGGTTTATTTAGCTGGAGAAAAAGGTCTGTCTACACTATGTTTGTTGAAGGAATTAATGATTTTCATATAAAGCTTGTGTTTGCTTGAGGCGCGTTAGCTAAAATGCAATTGTTAGTCTTTAGTGCAAGCCAGAGAGCTCACTCTGTTTGGATATTCAAAGACCAGAATAAGATCCATTATTTAGTGTTAAACGAGGCTCTTGTTTTGATGCAGTACAAATCTAACTGCCGGCAGAGTTTGAACCATAATTAACTTGGGCTGCAAATTAGATGCACTGCTTGTTGTGTGCTAATTGCTGAGGATTTATTGAAGCGAGTGTGGGAGGGGAAGAGAAAAGGAAGTGAGAGAGAGAGAGAAAGAGAGAGAGAGAGAGGTGTAGTTTGCTCCCAGACACATATAATGCGATTAACAGCCAGTTGCCATTGCAGGGCAAAATTCTGGCGACAAGCAAGATTGGCTTCTTTCCAAGTGATGCTGTGAGGCCTTGCCCATGTGTAAGTGTGCATATTTTTTGCAATCAATAAGACACATTTGGTCTGATTACAATGCATTCAGTTGATAATGGCTACTATTGATGTCTTAGCAAAGGAATGTAGTGCTTTTCAATTGCACTTTTTTGCTGTAGAAGACTGATTTTAGCCATTAGATGTAGCTTGAATATCACATTACCACAAATGACCTCCACCCCTCTGTATCGACTCCATTAAGACACAAAATAACCACAATTCTTTCTATGCCAGGTTCCAAAACCTGTCGATTACTCTGCTCAGCTCTGGTAAGTGATGAAAACAAATGACTGTAGATTGCTAACAATAACCACAAGTCATTTTTACTCCATTTTATTGAGTGTATTGACTGTTCTCATCCTCATGTTCAGAATGATTGATTGCAGTGTAAGTGCAGTAGTTGTTCACGGGTGGTTCAGGTTTGCAGGGCCTATGGAGAGATACCAGGCTGAGGTGGAGCTCCTGGACCGAGGAAACAGCACCTATCTGGTTCGACACAGAAGTAAAGAGTGCACTGAATACGCCATCAGTATCAAGTAAGTAACATGAAGTCTTGTTTTTCATTTATTTCCATTCAAAATCTCGTACAGTTTCTACTTTATCAGGAATGTTGGAATAAACCAAACACATGCAGTCAGCAGCAGTCTTGTGGGCAAAAACACCTTATTGTGAGAGGCGAGTGGCAAGAATCATTCAAGCTAACAAAATGCCCACATGCAAATAACAGCTCTGTACAACAATGGTGCAGTATCTGAAAACAAACAGCTCATCAAATGTTGAAGCGGAAGGGTCACAGCAGAAGGAGATCATGCTGTGTTCCACTCATGTCAATGGAAAACAAGAAGTTATAGTGACTATATAATCATCAACAGCCACAATGGAAAAAGTGTTCTTGTTCTGATGAATCACAGCTGATACTGAAATGCAGATGGTGGGGGACAGAATTTAGTTTAAAGGGTTGTCTCACCCAAATTGGAAAAAAACACATTTTCTCACTCAAACCCTAGTGGTGTCGAGCCAATTGTTTGGACAAAGTTTTGAGATATCTGTCTCAGAGTGCTCAGACTCTAAAAAAAAGAAGGGCCAAACTCAGTGTTAAATTTCATCATATTCCGTTCAGTAAACATAAATGGATTATGGACCTCTGTTGTTGGGGCCCATTAAATTCTCATGGCTTTGCAGGAATCCTGTTATGAATTTCATGATTTTAAAAGTTAACCATAGACATCTTTTGAGAAATGGCATTTGGGTTTGTTAAAGAAGGTGCAGTACACTGAGTCGGCAAACATAGGCTACTTGTGCAGTTACTATAGTAATATTTGGACTATTGTCTTTGTCACATGAAGTCTGCAGCAGGATGTTGTATTTGCCATAACGTTAGCTAATGAAGAAAAAGTTGGGATTCATTGTCTGAGATTAGTGCTATCAAACGATTAAAATATTTAATCGCGATTAATCGCATTAATGTCATAGTTAATTTGCAATTAATCGCAATTAATCGCAAATTTTTTGGTATTTCAGACTGGACGTGCTGTGATGATAGCTCAGTTCACAACGACAAAACACACAGATCACTTTGGTTTTGTCAACGGAACCATTTGGCAACTTTTTAAAAGTAAACTTTCCATTCATAATATTATTGGCATCCATTCAATCCATCCACTCAAAACGTAACGTCTACTACTCTTAGTGCGGCGTGCCTGTTGTTTTGTTTCCGGTCTAGCTAGATCTGGTGTGGTGTTGTAGTTTTTCTAACGTTACTAGTTGCAACAGCATGTGAAAAAAACTACAAAGTGTGCTAGGCCAAAAAGAACGTTAATCTCGCGATAAACAAATTGAAACAAATGCGTTATTAAAACAAATGCGTTATTAACGCCGTTAACGCAAACCCATTTTAACGGCGTTAATAACGCATTTAACTGACAGCACTATCTGAGATAAACCTGAACTCACATCGATATGGGCAAATGGTTGACATATCAGTACTGCTTATGACATTTATTATTATTTTTTTGTGCATTACCATTATGTGTACCGTAAGTTGTGTATCAGGTTGCTAACATTATATCCCAGCTGTCACTAAAGTTTAGCTGAGGCTGAATTGAGGTGCTACTATTTTTAGCCGTGTAAACACCTGAATAGAGACAATGTAAGTGTCACATAGGTGTATTTTCATTCTTTTACCACTGCATGTGAGACAAGTGGTCAGAAGATGAAAACCATCCATATTAAATTATTGAATTACTGGTAGAAAAGATAAACAGTCCATCACCATCATCATCAACATCAGTCATTTCTATTAGTATTGATGTTGCTAGTGTTGTTGCTGTGCACCTTTGTCTCTGTCTCTGTCCTCTTTACTCCTCTAACCCCCGCTCCCTCTTCCTCTCTCTCTCTCTAACCACAACTGGTCAAGGCAGACGGCCACCCACCTAGAGCCAGGGTCTGTCCAATATTTCCGCCTCTTAAAAGGAGGTTTTTCCTTGCTGCCGCCACGTGCTTGCTCATTGTGGGAACTGTTGGGTCTCTGTAAATAATTTTATAAGGAGTATGGTATACACTGCTCTATTTGAAAAGTGTCCTGAGATAACTTTTGTTATGAATTGGCGCTATACAAATAAAATTGAATTGAATTGCATTGAACCTGGGTAAAGGAAGCTCAAACTTTCTTTCTTTTCTTTTTTCAATTTGAATATCTGACCTTTGAAGCTTAAATCCTACCTTAACATTGTTGCCATTCATTTTAGTTTACTGTGATGGTCGGAGCCCATACATCTCAATTGAAAGCAGCATGGGGAAGAGGTGGAATTGGATGTTCTATTTTACCATCTATCTATTGTCTGTCTCTTCTGCGCAGAAACATGTTCAAGGAGAACCTGATAGCTTTGCATCATACTATTTGCTGCTCTTTGGCTATCAGTCTTATTTCAAAAGAAAGCTAGCCACACACTTGAATTGTAGATAAAACCCCCTTTCCTTTAGGCCTTAATAAATGGCTGCTTTATCTGCAAGTTGAGTGCCTCGGTATCCTTCTTTTGAAATACAGTACTGTCTATTTCACTAGCGAATATCTTTCTGGCTACATCAAAGCTTGTTCAGTCTTTTAAAAATAGAAAGGACTATCGAGTCCTCCCGACCTGGCATGACGGCTCCAAGAGATTATAACGATTGAGGGTGCACTCTGAAATAGTGTTTGGATGTTAAGACTATTTAGCCAGTGACACACCATTCCAGCCCATTTGGTTTTGGTGGACTCATACCGTCCCTCATTCAAAGCTTTGATGTACAGGGCCAGTTTCTCAACTCTCCAATCCTAATTGCCTGTCTCACTGCTTAAGATCATTATCATGATGGCCATTTGAGATAATGGCGCTTTATACAGAGAGCTGCTACTAATCAACTGGAACTGTCTAATGTCAAACACTATGAGTCGTCAGTTTGTGTAGTGTGTATTTGTAGCCATAGGACCCTATAGGAGGAAACAAAGACTCAACCTTCACCAAACAGGGCTCATCTGTCTCCATGTGTTATGCACCATATAACTCAAAACACATAAATAATGTATTACTCACCACATATTCATAATGTATCAGTGAATTTACAACATGGCCATATTCTTCTCACCCGTTATAGGCCGCACTGGGAGATTTACAATGTGGATCTATCTCCAGTGTAACATACACATCGCCATATGGGAGACATGCAGTAGTGTGCTCACAATTGGCTTGAGAGGAAATCAACACTTGTACATGTATTGAACAATGCACATGTATTTTCAAGGTTGGCCTGCATTACTTTTCAGCGAATTACTTATTCTGAGCTATCAATCTCACATGACAGGACGTGTGTGATACAGTTGTGATACATTTTTCTATCTTGGATTTAGTGAGCAGCTTCTTCCTCTTCTAGAATAGGGGTGCTTCATAAAAAAAAAGAAATTGACATAAAAAAAAGCAGATCCCCAGAATCAACTGCAATATTTATGTTAAACTTATTCCAAAATACACATTTATTAACATTATAGTGTAATATAGACATCTGCTCTTCTACCTCTTAGTAACTGATTAGAACCAGGTGCGGTGAGCAACTTACTAGACAGAAAAAGATAGTATCCGCTAATGTACAGAATGAATCATATTATAAGGATCAGATTTCTTCTTTTGTTTATACCTGCACTGTGTCCCAATTTCATATGACATACTAATTCTAACATGGTTGACAATACACAGTGTGTTCACACTGAGGAAGATACAAAATTAGGCATACTCAAAGTTGTCAGTGTGCATACTAAATCTGCTTGATTGTTGAGTGTGATGAGAGAGGGATGGACACCATTATCCCACAATGCTTTGCACAAAGGACATTGATGAGCTGCTTGGAAAACTGCCTTTTTCGTAGGAGACATTTTTACATGTCAAATCAGGACAACAACAGGTGTGATTTATGATATTAATAATGTCTACCCTCCATTTAGCATTACTAGTTTCAGAACCGTGCCACTGCTGACTCACTGACAAGGCTTATTGACACACTTAAAGGGAAACAAAGCCATCATTAATGTTATTAATTATGCACTTGCTTTTCCTGCTGTTAGTCAGAATGTTTGCTGTAAAAAAGGCCTATTATAATTATATATGGTGGTGACAGCCCCAAAGTTTTTTATTTTGTTGTTGTAGGTTGTCTCATCTTTTGTACAATTTCCTGTTAATACAAAATGGTCTTTCTTTAAACAAACAAACAAACCATGAAACCTGGATTTAACTGATACATTATTTTTAGTTTTCTTTTTGTTTTTTATTGGTTCAGACAGTATTTCAAAGTCAGTTCAGCATGCAATAATATACAGCCTTGGTTCACAAACTGGGGTGCCCAATGAAATTCTGAGAGGTCACAAGATGATTAAAGGGGAAAAAAGGAAGGTAACATTTTCCTATTACACAAAATTAACTTTTTTTTCCTTCTAATTTCTGGCTTTTCTTGTTAAATACTGGATCCTTTCAGCTCTTAATGCTCTCAACTCATGTCCACTTGTGATGAACGGCTACAAATAGACATTGCATATTTTTTGGAAACCACTGGTATCTAGTATGAATTGATTTTACAGGGTAAAACTGGGTAATCTTATGATACTTTTATTATTATCTGATTTGAGTGAATTGGATGTGATTTCTTCCCCCCCTGGTAACCGACAGTCAGCTCAGACAGACCTTCGTGATGGTTCACCATAGAGACTGGATTGATGTGGAAGCATGCGTAGTTGATTATCAACCCATGTCTCATTCATCCTTCACAGGTTCAACGATAAAGTCAAGCACATTAAGATTCTGACCAAGGATGGCTGCTTTTACATCGCTGAGACCCGGCTGTTCAAGACTGTGCTGGTAAAGGATTTAAATTTGTATGGATTTTTGTGTCCCATGAACTACTGTAGCATTAATGAGTATAATCGTTTTGACATAACACTACTTTTGCAACACTTTTTTGAGATAAACCGCTGCATGTAAGTGGAAATTGTACTTTTGTGCAATGATAAAAATATGTCTTCTAGTGGTTTATTTCTACATTTGTGCATGCACTCACAAAGCCCCAAGGGAAAGTTGTAAGCAGCTGCCTGTTGTATTATATGGCAGTAGCTAATATTCGCTTGTTTCCAGTACTTACACTTCCAGATGGGCAGATAGAACAATATATTGTGATTAGTTGATCGGCTCAGGAACACTTACTAAGCACTGGTTGCTGTTGCATTGTCAAGCAAGCAGCTCCTTTATGACCCTTTGTAACCAACCACTTAATTTCTATAAATTTGTACACAATACCATCTATATTCACCCTGGCTTATCGTGGTTAAGGGTGTGTTTTATTATTGTGCTTGTTTCACACAGGACTTGGTGGAATACTACAAGCAGTACTCTTTGAAGGAGGGTTTCAGCAGTCTTGACACCACTCTGCAGATCCCCTATAGGGAACTTTCCAATGGAAACATGCCCAGGGCCATTACCAAGGCTGGCAGTGGTGAGTGTGCTTCACAAACATCCAGGTTCCCTTACTGAGAATATCTGTCTGACAGGTGAAAATGCTACTAGTTCAGATCAGATCTTGAAATTGAAAGTAATTCTGAACATTTGCTTTTACCTGTTTGGGGTACCAGTGGGGTGGGTTTTACTACAACACTCAAGTTCAGATAAAGTAATGTGAGTTGTTTTAGACCTGCTTGTAAAGTCAAATGGAAACTGACTGTATATTTTCCAGGTCATCTAATATAAATAATAGAATAAGATGAGGGTGGAAACAGTTTGCTGAAATCAGTACCTCACTTGCTATATTTTGCTATTACTTGTCAGATAATGTATACCCTCACCTCGGAGAACTGTAGAAAAATGTCCCAGTTTACATTACAAAATCATGCTGACAGAGCATTTGCTTGGTTATTAGACACTCAAGTTAAAACTGTGTCTTGATACTCGAGGCAGTCCTATCTTTGACGTGTGAGACATGCTAGAAATATTTAGCACAGCATAATGAGCTAACACGATTCCCTGCGGAACAGCGCAGGGGGGAGGACAGCAGCAGCTTTCCTTGGGAAACCTGCCTCTTCAGATTATTTGATTGATCTTTTTTGTTATTATCATAATGGTGTCAAATGCAGCATTGTAGCATAGGTATAAGGTCATTTAGATTTGACTACATACACAAAACCTTATCTCTTAAATTTCATTCTGAGGTTAAGAAAAAAAACAATTCTTATTGTCAGGTGAGTATAAGAAAAACATATCTAATAAATATTATATTCCATTCCTTTCAATAGATCCTCCTAAACGTTACACACTTTAAGCAACATATTATTCCAACCTGGTGCAATAACAGTCATAAATAAATGCATTCATGTGCTTAAGTTCAACAAGTCTAGTCACTGCGTCATTGCTGGCGCTCAGAGACAGAGGCAGATGCTCATTCAATCTGAAGAAACATGCGGAGGAGAAAGGGAAAGTGGTCTTGAGAAAGAAGACCCTGCTGCAGAAGCGGAAGAGAGGGAGAGAGGTTTAGAGTAGGGAGAGCAGGAAGAAGACGAGAGGCAGGAAGAGGTAGAGGCTGCATAAGAAGGACAGGGGAGAGAAAAAATGGGGGAGGCATTGAGAAAGACATTGATATAAGACAAAGAAGGATTGAGAGAGATGGGAGGTAGGGAGGCAGTAAAGAAAAGGAAAGAGAGATGGAGGTAATTTGTAGCTTTTTGTAGTGGAGTTAAGTTAACCTTTCAACTAACCAAGAGTTAGATGAGAAGAATGATACCACTGCCATGTATTCCATGTGCTCCAGTCTATATGCTAAGCTACATCATGGCTTTAGCTTCGTATTTAGCACACAGATATAAGAGTGGTATCCAATAAACAAATAAGTTGAAATAATAAATAATAAATTTAACTATTCCTTTAAAAATGAGCCAAACTGTACATTTACACCTGGCTGAGATCCATTACAACCTAGACTATGTCCAGATGGTATCTAGCTGAGCCAATCATATTCTGCATTTGCACCTTGAATTAATATGTTTTTCCGTACCCAGGTACAGATGGCATGTTATTACCAGGTGTAAATGGGGTAAAAGAGAGGCACAGAGTATAAAGGGAAGGTATGGGGTAAGAGAGACAGAGGGAGAGCAAAAGACAAAAGAGGGAGTGAAAGAGACAGTGAGTGAAAGAAATAGAAAGGAGCCTCGGCAGCTCACCAGGCTTGGCAGAGAGGTCCCAGTTAGGGCCCAATGCCCCAGGCAAGCACCAGGAGCCTGCTACTCCAAACGTCACACTCTGCACGCTGCTCAGCTCCGAGATGGTTTCACAATTTTCCTGACAGGACATGACATTTCACTTGGGCTGGCAGCGGAGAAAACTGTGTGACAGCCGCCTGCTGACATACTCCTGGGGGATACCCCTGGTCCAACTGAGGGACTGCGCCTGTTTCCACAAAACTGGGAAAAGTTTGCAAATATGATCTGATGCAAAAGAGCAGAAAGCAGCTGGAGGTAAACTGTCTCAACTTAAAGGGAGGTGTACGTGTAAACAACCACAGTCGCTGCAACCGAGGCAACCGAGGCAAGCAGACGAACGCTGGAACAAAGTCAAAGTTAGCCCTTTGTGCCTGTTCGGATGTAAAATTCTGCTATATCCTTGTCCCTCTGCCTCCTTTGGCAGCGTCGGTCTCCCAGCGCATCAGGCTTCAAAGCAGCTCTGCAAGAGGTGTGTTTGTGCATCGCTGCCATTCACTGCGCTTCTCTCTGTGAGAAAGCCTTGACAGACCTGCCGTTGCCTCAGTGCATTCTGGGACAGATTATTATTGCCTTAAGTCGTCCACCCCCATAGACAGACTTAGTGTGGGCACCACGTTCTCTGTCTGGTAAACAGCCTCGGTTGAAAGACAGATGTCATGCCAAAACAAAAAAAAACACACACAAAATGGTTTGAATCTCAGAACAGACACCTCATAGCAAAGAAACAGAATGCAAGTCTGAGTAAACAATCACAAGATGCAGAACTGCTGAAAAACCATCAAAACTCTGGAGTAATTTGTTTGGAGAAACCCCAGCCAGCATCGTTAATTAAGTATGACTGAGTGCTTTTTGCCTGCGTGTGTGAATGTTAGGGCTGGGAAATAATTAGAAATCAGATCTTTTATTGTCTGTCAGGCAGATCATTTTGTAGTAAAGTGTCAGGGTTATCTGTATACAATTCTGCTTTCTAAAATTAATCATTAGGAGTGAGTAGTATTCAAAATCTAAGAATTTATTAGAGAAATGTAAAAATATTACAGGATATTTTGTTTGACTCTTCTAGTGTGCTATATGGTTGTACTTATAGCAGATGTATATTTAGATATGCACACGTACAGTACGTGCGGTATATACAGTAATACGTATACTTGTTTGTGTGCACTGTGGTGAAACAAACAGACACATATTAGTCTCCATTTACTTATCCCTGTGGGGGAGACAAAGAAGGCATGGAGCCATATTGTTGTCATGACAGGAGGTGGATTTCTCAGTGTGAGGGTCTGCTGGCTCAGATGGGATTTCATATGGGAGCGGAAGTCATCAGCCTTGCTGCTTGGATTCCCAGCCGTTGCCTTGTCAGGGCGCCGTGCTGTGCCCAGACGTATACTTACCCCCATGCTGCTGCTTTGGCTCACCTCATCTGAAGCTCAAAAGGTTGTTTTTGCTGATTATTATGCAGTGTGACCTGGGAAAGGTTGTAGAAGCTACAATACATGGAAAAGGTTTGTAGATAGTTGAACAGCTGATCTTTACCCCCATATGTTATTGTTGAACATCTCATTCAAAAAACATAGGCAACAATATGCTGCTACAACGGGCTCAACCCTTCTGGGGAAAGCTCTCCCCAAGATTTTGAAACTTGGCAGCAGGGATTTGTTCCAACTCAGTCACAAGAGCATCTGTGAGGCCAGTTACTGCTGTTGAGCAATAAGCACATTCAGACCGAAAACTGTTATGTGTCAACACAACACAAAGGGACTGCGTTGGTCGGTGCATGTTGCTTCAGGTACCGGTGGGTAGGTAATTGCCTGACTCCAGCAGCTTAGTCATCATTGGGGGACGGTTAGGAATGTGAAAATTTAAGCTACTCGGAATCAATTAATGTTACATACCGATAGTAGCGTTGTTTGACTGGGAGCTTATCAATATTTTGGTACTGACCAGTCAGGAACCAGTACCAATTTAGTATCGGTTCTTGATACCAAAAAAGAAAATGCCAACTGTATTTAAAATATGATCCAGGAAGTCCAGTTGGAGTAACAGATCATTGAGTCTGAAGGTTATCAGAAGCTAAAACACTGCACTGCATGTATAATACCTGAGACAAGATTTGACTACTCTCTTTTGAAGCAGTACTTTATCATTCATTGCAATGATTGCAAGGTAAACATAAATATGCCATTCACATTAGGCAATCTACCAGGAATGTGTCCTTGCAGGATCACAGGTTTATGATGTAGTGGTTCACCAATAGGGGTTTTTCAATGGCTGATGCCAATATTTAGAAAGCAGGGCGACCGATTGTGCCTGCTATAGAATGCCGATATCAGAAGAAAGTCATGTATATTTAATGAAACAGAAAAATACATTGGTTTATGCTGTGGATTTCAGAATTGGACTGGTATTTAAGGGAGAGCAGGGTACAGTATGTCAGAAGCTGCATTATTATAACATAAACTGCATTATTATAACATAATATATATTTAGTCAGCCAGTGACGGTTTTAGATTAGATTTGCTGTCATTTAGGATGGGATAAAAGTCTTAACATTTAGAAAAGCAGCAGGATGCATGAGAGTTATAATACAGGGCTGCAAACAAACTTTTTCACCACCTTCACAAAACTCACAAAGGGAAGTGTTAACATTGTTAGCCACACTGACAAGGCTGCCTGCAGATGTGTCTGCATTCATTTTTTTATTTATTGGCCTTGTGAGTGCAGGCATCGGCCAAAACAATTATCTCAAAATGCCACATAATCAGCCCAATTAATTGGCCGATTATATAGCTGGATGGGCCAGAGGTCAGAGCTCCATGCATGCCAGTCAAGTTCTTCACCACAAAACTCAATGGGCTTTGTTCAAGGGGCGCATTGTTGTGTCTGGAAAGGGCTCTTTTCAAACTGTTCCCAAGAAGTTAGAAGCACACTATTGTCTAAGAAATTGTATGCTGTAGCATTATGGGTACCAGCGTACCTTTGGACATGTTCTTAAGTATTTATGTTAATTACTCAACGGGTACGTCCTTTATTGTTCGGTATTATATAAAAATCCCCGTCCCAGGTAAAAGGACAAATTGTATGATGCTTTCACTGCTTTTACCTCCTCTCTCACTCTTATCTCCTTTCCATCCTAACTTTTTCCTTGTTCTTTGACATTGCAAACTTTTCTTTTCTCTCTCTCTCCTTCTCCTTTACCCTCTCTCACACTCTCTTTCTGTCAAACTTGTGTTTACTTTGCTTATGTTCTCTCTTTGCTCCCACTACGGCCTGAACCCCCCATCACTCGCTCCGTTTCTCTGTAGTTCCTCCTGGTGGCTGCAGCTTTGTTCCTCCTTCCTCCTCGCCTTTCTGGTCAGGTACAGGTACAGCTTTTCTACTCTCTTTGTCTCTCCCTTGCTGGATGCCCACATTTCCAGGTTTCCAAAGACGCACTGTCTTGTTTTGCGTATCTCTGTTAAGTAATATAGTCTAATGATGCCTCTTTTATGTCATATTGTGCAGACCATATGTGTTGACTTGTGAGAAAAAAACCTTCACGTCAGCCTTATGTAAATCCAAATCAGAAATATTGTAAATTCCTGACAGCTATGATATCTCCAACTTGGCAAAAGTACACTACAGACAAACAAGTGGCAAAGAGCTGCATAGCCATCATTGCTGACATTTACATTTAACTACAATTCAAGCTATTTGCGTGGTTTCACTTGTCAGTCAAACTCAACAAATATGAGCACTAATATAACACACTAAAAATAGTATATTAAGATGTGACTACAAGGCCAGTAATGGCAGTAACCATCTTGGTGGAAAGTCTCAGTGGTATAGGGGGAAGTCTAATTCTGCCAACATGGCATGAATACAGCATGATATATTAGGATTAACTTTATTTGTGTCTTTCTCCTTTTGCACTTATGTGCATGAGCATATATATGCATGCATATATGTGTGGGCTTGAGCATATGTGTTGGCATGATGTACCTGTGTGTGAATGGGAATAAATGTATTCCTTTCATCCAGCATATCTTCCCTGTTGTGTCACGTAGTATTTCCAAAGATAAGGTAAACAAACCAGTGCACACCTGTGTTCACATGTGCCCTGACCTGCATGTGTAGGAATGACCTTGTATAATCTGAAACGTTGATGCAATGGGTGAGCTGTGTTGAGCATTAGATCAACACATGACCATGATAACCCATGACCTGTCATCTCCACTGTGTGTTCGGCACAGCCAAGCTGGTCAGCTGTGTATATACACTTTGTATGACTCAGGGCCAAGAGACAAGGCTCTTTGCTGCCTTATTATGCCTTTAAAATAGCTGTAGTCATTTTACTGTGGATAGTACCTGTAATAAGTGTGTTTCATATCATTATAAACTACAATAGTTCAAATTGACATAATGATAATATACCGTTTTATATTAATCAGAGGTAGATTAACTGAGTTCAGTTTTCCTAAGTTTCCCTCTCATTTCTTTGTAGTCCCCCAAAATCTTGTTAGTATAGTTACTACTACAGGTACTGTAGTTTGACAAAATCCTAACATAGTCCAAACCTGCATTTCTTTGGAAGACCTTGAGCTAACATTTTTCTTGTTTTATTATAACAAAGTATATTTAAAAAAATATATAATCAGTTTGAGGTAAAAGTTAAATGTTAGTCACTCCCAATATGAAAAACTTAAGAGTTAAGAGGATCACTTTTAGAAAGCCCAGGATTCCTGAGGAGAAAGTGGTTTCGAGTGGCTGACACAGGCTTCAGATTAGATTGTGCAGAATGAGAGAGATATTTTGTACTTCAAAGTTAGTGAGTATTTAAGTTTTAACAACACCAGGTCAAAACTTTATGGCTAGACTGTGTATGGTCAGCGATAGTGTTCATCTTGTTCTTAAGGTGTACTAAGGTAGACATGGTTAATCTATGCCCGAATCAAAAAATTCAGTTGCGAGAACAATACTTTCCACTCATATCTTAAGAGATTTGATTTGAAAGAGAATTTAATTTAAGTGTAGTATATTCTAGTAATCTATTTAAGGTCCAGTGTGTAACATTTAGGAGGATCCATTGGCAGAACTGGAATACAATGTTCATAGATATGTTTTCATTAGTGTATAGTCACCTGACTACAGGAATTATTGTGTAATTATTATTATCCTAGAATGAATAGGTCATAGTTTCTCCTACACAAGCCCGTTCTCATTCTCAGGTCACAAAATACAGATGTGACCAATGTTCACCTAGTTGCAATCTGCACGATGAAATATAAAAATCTGCCCATCAACTATATGTATTAGAAACAGTATCACTTCTGTTTGTGATTGTGTTTTTAAAATGATCTACCATTTCCACATATGTGCCAGTTGTGTTTAAACAGAGAGTGAGAGACAAGCAGACACACACAGACACACACACACTCACACACACACACACACACACACACACACACACACACACACTCACACACACACACACACACACACACACACACACACAGGCAGGGAAGAAGCCCCTCCTCACGATCATCACAGTCATCACAAGATAGCCCTTTTAAGAACGAGCAACGCCCCACTTGTCCATGAACACATGATTCATGAGGCTATTGTAAAGAATAGCTATACGTATGTGTGATTAGAAAAGGGCAGAAGAGCAGAATCACTTGTTGACCAGTGCGGAGAAATGGGCTTCTGGTGGGCCTGGCTCATTCATGCCTATTCATTTTGAAAGAGCAGTGGCCAATAGAGGAACTCCAACACTCACTGAGTTACTCATGGACACTCACGTTTTTAGATCCAAAAATAGTTAGGTTGCACTACCAAGAGGAAACTAAATCCCTCTATCTCTGAGAGTACTCTCTGAATATTTGTGAAATTTAGTGGAGATGACTCTCAATTATAAGACAAGATGTCTTTGTCTCAGTGTTTTCTCCTAGGGTGGAAGGTATTGCAGTGGCGCGCTATGACTTCTGCTCTAGAGACACACGGGAGCTATCCCTGCAGCAGGGAGACATTATCAAGATCTACACCAAGATGTACAATGGGTGGTGGAAGGGAGAGGTCGACGGCATGGTAGGTCTCCTATAGAACCCTTTCACTTTGGCAAAATCCAGTACATGTTTTATTTCATCTTGACCTTGGTGTTTTTGTTTATGTTTTCTGTGCTTTTATCATATACAGTGGTAGCTAGAATTTATTTACACATCTATCACACATGTGCCTGGGTGATGCAGGGGTAAAATAACTGTTATTAACTGAGATACACATAACTGAGAGCATTTGGTGGTTGGAAGCCAGTGAGGGATCATGTTATTTTTTGACCATAGCATCTGCATGTAGGTTGTTTTGATCTTGGCAGGGAGGGAAGGGCTAGTGTGAAACTCTCTCTACTCGGTGAAGCTCCCTACTGCCACATGTGGGCCAGGCGGGGATGCTGTCTTATATTTGTGCAGTTGAGTGCTGCTGCCCGAAATTATTCTTGTTTTGCTGCTCCTCAGGTGGGCTGGTTTCCCTCTACCTACGTGGAAGAGGAGGACTGACTGCTGGATGAATGACGTCTGTTCAGCGTCCATTCAAAGCTGACCACCTCCAGTGAGTGCCATGCTGCTCAGCCACTCTCTGTGCCCTGCAAGTCAGATCTCTTTGATAAAACCCAGAGACTCGGACTTAAGAGGAAACGGCGGTGCCCTAAGAAACCTTCTCCTGCCCTCTGACAGACTCACACACAGAGCAGATGTCAAATCACAGATTCCAGGAGCATCACGCCATATCTCACCTCTCTGTGGCCCTGTCTGCCCCTGCGGCCCACTGGGAAGTGCATGTGCTGTGCCCAGATAACTCTCCCTCCTCCCTTCCTGCTCACCTTGTCTTATTATTGATGACTCCATTGGCTGGTGTGAGACTTGCCTTCACTGTCATCATGTTTCAATACCAGGAAGGCTCAGTCACCCAACTGGAACACAGATCCTGCTGACAGCGCAAAGCCCAGGTACTCCACCAAATTGAAATGCAGGAGCTGAGGCGCTTCAACTGTTGTTGGAACACTATAGCCCTCTTCGCTGTTCAGACCTTCATGTTGGACTGTCTGTCTAAGATCCATTTTATTTTTCTAATTTTTAATTACTGGACGGATATAAACTATGTGATATTTAAATGCAATTGTTGAAACGTGGTTTGAGACTGTTTAAAAAAAGAATGGAAAGATTTCAGCATAAATGACAATGTCATTCTCATGTGATGTGTTTGCAGTCTATAATGACTATTAGTGATTTGGCCAAAGAAAAACAACATAATAATGTGGCTGTGGAATCCCCCTCTGATGAAGCTATGTCTCTAAGCTTTGATTTCTATTTGATTATCATTTCTTTTAAATCATTATTTATTTGAATCACCACCTCACCTTTAAGTACCATCTTCACAAAGCATTGTGTTGGTGCCAAAATATCAAAACTAGCATACCCTTTTATTTTTCTCACACAGATGTAAAGCAATAGTTATTTATATTTTTGGGAAATACACTTATTCACTCTCTTGTTGAAAAGAAAATGAAAAGATAGTACTCTAGTACTCTCAAACATGTACTAAGGTATCACACCAATGCATTTAAATAAATTAAAAGGCCTTTATTTGTATTGGTATTTTTTTGAGCTCATGAAAAGCTGACTTTTTAGTTATTTGTTTTTCTCATCTTACCAGTATATAAGTTAATTCAAATTAGTTCAACCTTAAACATCTATAGCAGTAAAATGCAATATACATATTAAAGCAGCAGTACTATTAATCGAAAAACATTATGTATACTGTAATAGCAAACCACTGATTGGGAGCATTTTATGGCAGAATGAGTACTGATCATACTTACATACTTTTACTTCAGGTTTTTAATTCAAGACTTTTACTTGTAGTGGAATATTTTCACTAATTAGTAAGTATGTAAAGGATCGGAATACTTCTTCCACCACTGCTCACCTCTGTAGCTACCCTCTGAAGTTCTCCAGGACCCAGTGTGTTTCTTGCCCATCTGCTGCTGAAATACACTGCTGCTATGTTCTCTACAGGGATTATATTGTCTTCCTCTGTCTTTATTGCTCAATTATGATATCAGGCTGATCAGGTCCAAGATGGAGAGTTTTTTTGTAATGTTCTTCTCTCAGAAGTAGGGCTGTCTCCAACTAAAGGTTTTCCTAGTTGAGTAGTCGTCAAACGTTTGTTTTATATTGAATTATATAAATGTATATTTGAACGGCTACCTGTCAAATGATAATGGAAAAAGCAGTAATGATTCTGAATGTGTCAGAACAACCAGCAAGGAAACTGAACACTCACTTAATTTATTAACAGAGTATAACATCACACAAGTCTTGGTGTTCACAACAGGGAATAACTAACTTCCAACTTCACAATCGATGTTGGTGTCCGAGGCTGTGTTCAGTCCTGGTGTCATGGCCACTGGTAGGCTGCTGAGCCGTTGCCCCACTCTGGCTAAGCATTCAGGCCCCCCCTGCAGTCAAAAGCTTGTGGTGTTATCCCCCCGTACTCTGAGTTCAGTTAGGACATACAGCAGTGCTGTTACAAGAGAAAAGGTCTGTTTTGCAACAGTTGTCCTGGTGACAAGGCGCAGCTTCCGTTTGACACTGTTTTTGTTTTTGTCTTCCTGTGGATATCCGACTGATGAAAAGAGCGTCAACTAAGACTCAACTAACAGTTTACTCAACTATCATGGGACAGCCCTAGAAAGAAGGCATTGATTTTAATGACAACTACATTTTCTGTCTCCATTCGAGCTAGCTAAATTACACTCTTCATCTGTTGCACAAGGCTGTTCCAACTCTGTGCTCAGCAACCCATACTAGAGCATCAGATGTACCACAGGCCACTTGCTCTCTGCTGCGACCCAGTGCTCCTGTTTCTTGTAAAACTTATAGGAAGTGTCAATAAGCAAAGATTTTGCGCCCACACCATAACTACCTGGCATTTCTAATCTACATTTTATTTCAGATTATACATTTTTACTCACCAACTATAGGATATTTACCATGCTCATTTTAAATGTACATATATATATATATATATATATATATATATGAAGGTAACAAAATCTGGCTACTAGCACCTCTAAAAGTCAATTAACATGTCATATATTGTTTAATCTCTAAAAAATCAAATTGTTAAAGAACATTTGTTGTGCAGGACTATTTCTTTGCTGAGAGCAGTTCCTGGAACATCTGCTGGTTGCCTGGCAACCTCACACCTACCATGGTGGATTTTGTTACGTTCAGACAGAACCAGTCTAGCTGTTTTCCCGGTTTTTTATATGCTAAGCTAAACTAACTGGCTGTAGCTTAGAGGACAGATATAAAAGCGATATTTTCTCATTTAACTCTAGTCAAGAAAGAGAAAAACCCTATTTCTCAAAATATTGATTTAAGCCAAAATAGACTACAGTTACAGCTGAATAGTGAATATGGTGAATCATCGAGAGGATGAAGGAACACACACTTTAATAATGCTTCACAATGTTTAATGGCACTATAGGAGAAAAATCATGCCCAGTTCTCATGTTTGGCTTTAGACATATGAAGTCATCAAAGAGACGAAATATGTACAAAAGGAATTACAAAGCCAAATAAGTTTTAAAAGTTAATGTGTTGTCGGTCTATACTTCGCTGTGAGCTCCTTCATCTTTTGATCATTCATTGTGGAAACTGGAGAGCCCTTTTACATTCCACGGGTTTTTGTGTTTACCTCAACTCTTTTTGGTTTCAGAATGAATGATTCAAGGGTGATGTAACAGCTGTACACTGTAGAGAAAGGTAGCACTAGGGTGTTAAGTGATGCTGTTTTCCTTCAAACGTTAACACCCCGCTAACCATGTGTGTGACATCAATATTTAATAAAAGCATACTCTTTGAATTGTATTTCTGAAATTTGATAGGCTATTTTTCCCTCTTCAGACAAATGTTACATTGCAGGAACAAAGCCTTTGCAGTTGCATCACAAATCATACCCATGTCTGGCACGGTTGTGGAGGTGCAGTGGAAAACTGCCAGTGCTCAAATAGTGGCTAAACAGAAAACAGTTGTGGTGTAGAAACATGTAAGCTCAGTGAAGGTCCATGTTTTCTTCCTAAATGTGTGCGTCACTGAAACAGTGTTCCATAATTTTGCCCATACAGAAAGTTCAGTGTCATTATCCCTTTAGCACTACTTTCTTGTTTTCACATTTTACGTAGTGTAGAGAAAACAGTAACCTAGTGTACTGATCTGACAACAGGGCATGTAACGGGTCAGATGGACGGCAAATTGAACGAATGTCCCCCGCCGTAGTTTTGAATTCCAAGAAATCATTACAGATCAGAGATAATTGTTGCTAGCAAGCCCAAAATAATCTAATGTAATAAGACATATCATGCAGCGCAGGGTAAAAACGGTATCATATCATGTGTACAATGACTTACCTCTATATTTGCTGGACAGTTTTTAATCTCCTCAAATTTCCACAACTATCTATCTAGCCCACGTGTCATTCTGCTTGCCACTGTGCTGCAGCTAACATTTGTTGTTTTACACACACAATCCATACCAATAATAGACAAGTGTTGGTTTACGCCTATATAAGAAATAACTTTAGATAAACATTTCTTTTGGCTATATCCAAATAAGATCTTTATGAGCCCACTTGAATACCAAATGGTACACTGACAAACAAGGATGCTCTTAGGGAGAGAATGTCATGGTTCACATCATTACCCCTGGCAATTATGTTTTATCATATTTTCCAGTTGATAAATTATTGGTTGCAATACAGGTTTTGATTTTAAAATTACACGGTACTCCTGGTTATGTTTTGTGTCTTCTTCAAGTCTATTTCTAAATCAAAATCGTTTGCCAGTAGCTATTAATTTCTTCTGAATAGCAGATTAAGCAGATGCTTCGATTATTTAATGTGATTAAACCCTTTGACTTGTTAGTATGCATGCAGCTAGTTATTGTCAAAATATGTATATAACATTATTATACATAGCTTTTCCCCCCTGCAGTGTTCTGGTCTGAATGCATTTTCTTTATTACTGTGCTGTGCTGTTTGGCATCTGTTGTGCTCTTTCTACTGTTTTATACACTTTATACAGTGAATTATTACCTTTTATATTTTATGGATTTTAAAATCTGAGATTCAACAGAAATACACTGTCAAATATGAGAATGCATTTATACCCCACAATATCAGTATTCTTGTAATGTAAACACATCCTCAGGCTTACTTTCCCCCCACTGCTCTGCAGCCTCTCTAATGACCAAACTCAGCAGAGGGAGGGCTCTGCTGTGCTAACAGTAACCCTCCCATCACAAAGAGGCAGAAAGAATGGCTCCCCTAATACTCTTCCTCTCCTTAATCTGCCTGTTCCTGTCTTAGCCAAAGAGATGAAAGGCGACGACAGAGAAGTTGGACAGAAGCCAGAGAGAGAAATGAGTGTACAAGGTTGCACTGAGTAGATAGTACAGGGGGAAAAAGGATGCTGTGTATGGGTATGTGTGTGCTTCAGAGAGAGAGACAAAAGGCAGACAGAGAGAGAGAGAGAGAGAGAGAGAGAGAGGGAGAGAGAGAAGCCATGCATCATCTTCATCTGTCTGAATGAGCTCCTTAACCCCTGGTCTTTGCCAGTCAGCCCCTCTGGATCTCGATATGGGGTTAAACAGGGATTTAGTAAAAGCTGAAGCTGCCCTCAAATACGGTGAGCTCTTGGTTCCTCTCAAAAGGGCTCGACTCTCCGAAAGACTTTATCTGTAAGATTTATATTCAACTGCTGACTTGTGACCATCAACCCCTCTTACAAAATCATAAAACTACAACTACAGAGTTTTTTGTATTCAGACAAGACATAAAAAGCTGCCTTAGAAGAGAAAAAGAGGAATGTAGAAAAAAGATATCCACTCCTGTTACAAAACCCATAGAAGCTGTTGAAGCTGACATTTACTATTTAACGACCAGATTGACATGATGCCATAAAATCAGGATTTGACTTAATGAAAGGTGACTCAACCGGACACTTAGCCAATAAATAAAACTTCCTATCGATTAAAATCTGCATATCATCCCAGATTCTTCTCACCTAACCTCACCTTTATAGTGCCTCCACTGGGACATTTAACTGCCCTCATCCAAAAAAACAACAGCATTGATTAAAACACCCATGGTTACAGCTTTCCATTCCTGAAAAGCTACAGTCATTTTTACATTCAGAAACACAGGCAGAAGTGGCAGGCTGTTGTTACATACGGCAGCAAAAAGTCTTATGTATGGGATGAATGGATTGATGTACAAGTGTTCATCTCCTGCTCCTATTAAGAGTTAATATTGGTTTATTTTATTTTTGTTTCCCTAGTCTGAGTCAAGCAGTATTTAAATGAGGAGAGACTATGAATTGTTACAAGGTCTTTCATCCAGTTCAACCAGCAGTTCAACTTTATCACGTATGCAGTGAAATAAAACTTATTCTTTTCCTTTACCATCATCATCTTGTCAAAAATTTACTTTTTCCAACCCATTGGTTGACAGAATGATCAAATACCTGCAAAACTAATTAAATTCCTGTGTGCGTCAATTGGCTTTTGTGTTTAGTTTGTGT